TCCTTCCACTGCATCTCTGGATCCCCCACCCTGTTTCCTGTCCTCTGTCTTTTATTTTTCTTCTTCAATTATTTGTAATTTGGGTTTCTAATATAAGAAAAACCATGTAATATTTAAACTTGTATATCTGATTTATTTCACTTAACATTATTGTCCCAAGGTGCATCCATTTTCCTACAAATAACTCAAATTTATCTTTCTTTATGGAGAGTAGTACTCCCATTGTGTGTAAATACCACATTTTCTTTATCCATTCATCTGTTGATGGACATATAGGCTGCTTCTAAGATTCAGCTATTTATGAGTTGTGCTGCTATAAACATGGGTATGCATGTATCACTGTAATATGATGTCTTTAATGCTTTCAGGAAGATACCTAAACGGGAATAGCTGGATCAAATGAAATTTCTAGTTTCAGTTTTTTGATCCCCACTGCCTCAGCAGCATTTGTTACTTGATTTCTGGATCATAGCCATTCTTTCTGGAGTAAGAAGGAAACTCAGTGTTGCTTTAATTTGTGTTTCTCTAATGGTCAGCGATGTTGGACATTTCTTCATGTGTTTATTGGCCCTTTGCACTTCTTCTGTGGTGTCTATTCATTTCACTTGCTAATTTTTTGACTGGGTCTTTTTTGGGGGGAGTTTAACTTTTTTGAGTTGTGTAAATATTCTAGATCGGTGATGGTGAATCTTAGAGTTTTCAGTGGTACAAACAGCCTGCCGTGGCACGTGTGCCATGAGTTCACCACCAGTATTCTAGATATTAGCCCTCTGTCTGAGGAATGGCTGGCAAAAGATTTTTTCCCATTCTGTAAGTTGTCTCTTCACTCTACGGGTTGTTTCTTTTGCTGTGCAGAAGCTTTTTGATTTGTTATGACCCGATTCCTTTATTCTTGGTACTATTTCCTGTGGAATCAAGGTTCTGTTTAGAAAGTCCTTTCCTATGCCTGTGACTTCAAGAGTTTTACCTATTTCATCTTCTAGCAGGTTAAGTGTTTCTGTTTTAACATTTAGGTTTTTTGATCCATTTTAATTTAAGTTTATTACATGGTGAAAAATACGGCTCTGGATTTAATCTTTTGCATGTGAATGGCCAGTTTCCCCAGCACCATTTATTAAAGAAGCTATCTTTCCTCCAGTATATATTTTTTGGCCCCTTTGTCAAAGATCAAATGTGTTTAGGGTTGTCTCTGTGTCCCATGTTTCTGTTTTGTTGATCCTTATATCTGCTTTTGCGACAGCACCATGCTGTTTTTATCACTGTGGCTTTGTAATATAACTTCAAGTCTGGGATTGTGATACCTCCTGCTTTTCTCTCATTACTCAGGACTGCTTTTGCTATTCTGTATCACTTCTGGTTCCATGTGAATTTTAGGATTGTTTGCCCCAGTTCTGTGAAGAATGCTGTCTGTAGTCTAGGTGCTTAACTTTTTATTTTGAAGATTTTATTTATTTATCTTTTGAGACAGGGTCTCGCTATGTGGTTTAGGCTGACCTTGAACTCATTGTGTAGCCCAGGCTGGCCTTGAATTTGTGGTGATCCTCCTGTCTCAGCCTCCTGAGTGCTGTGATTACAGGTGTGCACAACTATACCCAAATATTTTGAAGATTTTAAGTGTACACTGAAATTGAGAGAGGAATACAGGTGGATGCCAGTGTACCTTGTTGTCTTCTGTAGCCTGATGCTGGCCTATTGCTAGACCGTGTGTCCTCCACATTTCCCTTTTCCTGGGGGTTTAATATGTTTATGACAGGGCTGTAATTTGTATGACTTGCTGCTGGGTGGCTCTGAGATACTGGTAGTAAATGCCTGACTGACCCACCAGGTGGCATGGGACAGTCCCATCGGGTGGTACAAACTGCCTGATGGAACTGTCATGCATATATCACTGGTGGTTCAAGCCGGCGGGATGTATTAAAACAAATCTCCACCTCTGGGCATTTGCTCAAGTGTCCAGGAGGTGGGAGGTGCTAGGTTGGGCCTGGTCCCTCCTGTGAAAGGGCAGGCATTCTTTCTATGTTCTTCTAAAGCCAGTGATTCACCAGGGGAAAAACACACTTTGGGAAAGGGCCATTCAGGGCTCTGTGGAAGGAATAGAAAAACGTCACCCAGTGCACTTTGTGGACAAGAAAAAATAAGCCATCCTCTGAAGTTTAAAGTTGTTTTCCTTTTTTAGTCATTGGGGAAAGAACCATCTTGTTCCAGACTCCTAAGGAGGGAAACTTTTTTGGCATGTTTACTTAACAATTCTAGTCAGCACTCACGCAGGAAACTCACTTCATGAATTATTTGCTCTGGGAGATTCCAGGAGCCACAGTTACTCCTAACTGAAAGCATTTTGGGTTGGTTTGTGTGTTTGTGTTGCTGGCTGGTGGTGGGACCTGCAGAGGGAGCTGGGGGTGATCCTGTACCACGTCTGCCCATAGCCCTTGCAAAGGCCTGGCATTGACTCTTTCAGAGGTCACTGTGTGCTGCTGGCTGAACACTGTTTGCCTTGTGAGACTTGGGGCCAAGAGGATACTGGTGTTTACACATAGTGTTTCATTTGTCACCTGGAATGAGGCAGGGCTCAGGATGAAAGGCAGGAGTGGTGCATTGCATTCTGGAGCCTAGAGTCCCCAGAACTCTAGTGAAGCACTCATTCTGTGTGTATTTTGGTGTGGATAAGACTTTACAAATAATCTATGTGCATATTTCAGAAATTCTCTGTGTGTGTGGTCACTTAGCCCGGGACCCTGGGGGGCAGAGCTGGCTGGGCATTGAATGCCGGTGGTGCACTTAGTGGAGGCCTGGAATATCCCCCAGGACACTATGAAGTAGCACATGCAGTGTTTGTACCACAGTCAGTGAAAACTTGACACCACACATTGGAAACTTAACTTAAAGAGAAAAGCATAAAGGGCCAGGGATTTAGCTCAGTGATTTCACCGCCTGCTGCGCAAGCACAAGGACCCGAGTTCGATCCCCGGCACCAAAAACAGAAAGAGAGAAAACCATATGGTCTGTTCCTACAGTGGAATAGTCAGCCTGAACAGGAGGGGGAACTCTGACCCATGCTACAGTACAGATGAACCTTGGAGATACTCTGCTCAGTGACACAAGACAAATACTGTATGATTCCACTTAGATGGAGTCCTTAGAGGAGTCAAACTAGAGGAGACAGAAAGTAGCATGGTGGGTGCTGGGGGCTAAAGGGAAGAAGGAATGGGGAGTTCATGCTAGTGGCTACATAGTTTCAGTTTAGGAGCAGGAGAAAATTTTGGAGATGGATTGTGGTGAAGGTTGCACAACTGTGTGAATGCAATCCACAGTAATGTAGTTACAGAATGTAATTAACAGTATTGAACTGTACACTCAAATAGTAAATAGTATGTTAGTATATTTTACTTCAATAATGAAAAATAAGAGAAAGGCACATTGAATCAGATTTATCCTATTGGTATAACTCATGGTATAGTTCACATTTTTTGTAGAGATAATATAAAGATATATGTGCATATTAGAGTAATTTTTGGCACTACTAGGAATCATATGTTAGAATAATTTAAATAATGATACTATCAGTGAGTGAAAAATGCATTCTTGTGTTTCTAAAGGTATGCACAAATTCAAAGATTCTTACATCAACCTTTATTTTGCAGGAAGCTGATGGTTTAATTCTCATAGATATTGATCATGGAAGCATCACATGCTCTAGGTCCTCAGACAATGACATGGACATTCCGGACATCCCTCTCCTGGTGGCACAGATGTTTATTCAGAGGTAACAGGAAATAGTATGTGTTTGAGAACATCTTTGTTTAAATCCTGTGTTTGCTACTGTGACAGTCTTTTTCCAATTTTATATTGTTGATAGTTGTTTTCTATATTTAGATTTTGGAAATTATTTGCAAATATTTTTAAAGAAAAGGGATTTATCTGTATTCCAATTTTGTCTAAATACTAATTATGGCTGAACAGTCTAGGAGCCGTCACTTCTCCTACTCTCCTGATCCTTGGCCCTGTGCCTCAGGGTCCTGTACTGTTATCTCTTGTCATTCATTAGATAGGTGTTGAATACCCATTAAATGCTGGAATTGGGCAGGACTATACAGTAGTGACAGAACGGTGGAGGCCCTGCTTTGGGATACTCAGTCCAGGGGACCTTGTGGATGTGACCTTCTCTCACCTCCCCTGGCAATCTGTTGGTGCTCTTAATTTTTCAAATCTAGTTTTATAGATGTTTACACTTTTTTTCATCTCTTTTACTAAGCTTCATTGGCCTAGATCAGGTGTCAGCAAACTTCTAAAAATGACCATGATATATTTTAGGTTCTGGGGCCCTGGGGTCTCTGCTGTGGTACAGATGCTGGGCAGGACTTTCCTCCTGAGTGGTGGAGGGAGGTTATTCATTGGTCATGGCAGGCTGTGGTGTGTGCTGTGGTGTCTGGCTGTAGCCCTGGGGGATGTCAGCTCAGGCTGAGCAGGACGGCTAGGTGCAGCAGCATGGGCCTCTCTTGGGGTTGTTTGTGCAGCACCTTTTCCCTTTGAGTTTTGTTTTTTGATTTTTTTTTCTTTGGTACTGGGGATTGAACTCAGGACCTTGTGCTTGTGAGGCAGGAAAGGTGCCACTGAGCTAAATCCCTGGCCTCTCCCTTTGAGTTTTTAAACAAAGGGTAGCAGGAGAGCTCCTGCTTGTCTGTCCTCATGACCTGTGGTCCAACTGCTGTCAGACCTTGCATGTGAGTTGTAGAAGTGATACTCAGTTCCTTTTAGGCTTTTGGCAATCAGCCCAGCCTTACTGGTGTTTGCTGACCCTGGGGCAGCTGTACGTAGGGTAGTCATCCTCACCTTGTCTTTTGTTGGGAGATCAGAAGACATCGAGCTGAAAGCTCAAGGTGCAGGGAGGAGGGTGGCAGTTTGTCCTGGCTTCCCTCCACATGGGTTTTCTCTCTTCTGACTCTCCTTGGTGTAGTTTGTTCCTTTTACCCAGGTGGTTTTTGCAAAGTATAGGATTCGAAATCTGAAATGCTCCAAAGTCTGAGACATTTGAGTGCTGACATGACAACACAAGTGGGAAGTTCTGCCCCTGACCTCATGTGATACATCAAAATGAAAAAAGTTTCATGGAAATACTGTACAGAATGGCCTTCAGTCTGTGTGTACAAGAAATAAGTGAAACATAAGTGAATTTCATGTTTGGGCTTGGGTCCCATCACTAAGATATGTTATTATGTACATGCAAATATCCCCTAATCTAAAATCTGGAAAACTTCTGGTCCCAAGCTATTTTTTATTTTTGTTTACAGTGTTGGAGATCAAACCCAGGGCCTCATGCATGCTAGGCCAATACTGTACCACTGAGCTACATGCCCAGCTGCAAGCATTTTGGATAAGAGATACTCAATCTGTATATAGGAGTACCACCTTTGTTATTGTTCCTTCCATCTCAAAAAAACTTAAAAGCTCCCCCAGAGCTCCAAGAAACAGCTATGATATAAGTGGAGGGGTAGGGCCAGGGATTTAGCTCAGCGGTTTTGCTGCCTGCTGTGCAAGTGCAAGGACCCAAGTTCGATCCTTGGTACCAAAAAAAAAATTAAAAAAAAAAAGTGGAGGGGTAGAGAGTGGGGGAGAGGGAGGAGGTATGTCCTCCCTTGCAGTGAGGGTGCAGGGTCACAGGGCTCCTCTTCCTGCAGCTGCGGGCAGTTTATTCTCAGGGCACCTGTGCAAGGTGTTCCATTGGAATTTGGACCTGTGTGAACTTGGAAGTCAAAACTTGAATCCTCCTTGCCCTGTTTACTTTCAGATAAGCAGGAGCTGCTTCCTCTGACTTTCAGAGTCATTCCAGAACTGACCTCTGCCAGCTTCTCAGGTGTTTGCTTTGCTGTCTGCATTGCTCGGATTCCAAAATACAAATGCATACGGTGTACAGGTTGGAAACAGGGTACATGACATGTGGTGTCTGATATAGGTTCATCACAGGGACTTTGTTTATAAACATGAACTAACCTGTGTGCTGTCCACAATGTATCTGTCTGTCCTGAGCTCTGAGCCCATAAGCCAGGTTGCAGTGCAGCTTCCCCAGTGTGAACTGGGGTGTGGTACACATCTGCACATGGGCATTTCTCCAGAAGGGCCGAGGGGCAGTGGCCTTTCCCTCCCAGCTTCCCTGGGAAGGCCTTGGCTCCTGCTTGTTCTCTTTGCCCTTCTGTCTTTGTCTCTTTCATCAGAAGTATACATTTGTTGTGGCTTCTTTGCTGCTGCCGACTTCCCTGGAGGACTTTCTGGGACGGGGACCTGGCACAGAACTCTGCGCTTAGTGTGGGATGGGAGGGAAGGACTGCATTTTGGGGGTGCAGGGAGTGGACTGCCTTCTCCCCAAGACCTGATTATTCCTGTATGAGGGAGGACAAGGACTCCAGCATCCTTGATGCAGGCGAGTTGGTCACATATCCTTCCCTACTGTGCTGTCCGTCCTGTGATCTTCTGGATCACAGGCTGGTTTGGGGCTGACAAACAACAACATGGCCGTTGCCTGATCAGGTGGGCCAGCCAGGCCTGGGGATGTCCTCAGCAGCAGCTTCCCAACACATCAGAAGTGGCTCCAGAGCCTCTTGCTGACCACTTAGCCCTGGCCTCACAGCTTTCCCCTGGCTTGGAGCCACACTGGCCTGGCAGGCCCGCTGTGCCCACAGTAGGGCTTTTGGTGACTGTGAACCCCTCCTCTGCTGCCCCCATCTTGCCTTTCACATTTCAAGTTCAAAGTCATCTCTTGGGAGAACTCATCTCCACCCAGTCTGACCTTTTCCATGTGCAGCCCAAGGCCCTGTTTGGATTCTCTGCCTGATCACCTCATTGTTTCTTGTTTTGTGATTAATTATCTGTTTTTCTGTTTCTTCCCCCTTGCATGTAAGCTCAACACAGGCAGAGGCTTTGGCTCAGTCAGCATCCAGAACCAGGCTTGGTACAGAGTAGGTGCTTAAGGAATATCTGTGAAACAAATGTGTATTGGTTGTCTTTTTTTGGGGGTACCGGGGATCGAACGCGGGTCCTTCCGCTTTCGAGGCAGGCAGCAGAACCACTGAGCTAAATCCCCACCCATGTATTGGTTGTCTTTATTTTGCTTATTTAGAACCACAGACTGGGGAGGTGCAGTGGCTCATGCCTGCAATCCTATATAGGTGGGAGGCTGACATAGGACAATTGTAGATTGGAAGTCAGCTTGGGCAACTTATTAACACCATACCTCAAAAAAATGGTGGCGCCATGCTTGCCTGACAAGCACAAAGTCCTGAGTTTGATCCCTGGTACTCCCCCCAAATTTGTTTTTTAAAGGACTGGGGATGTAGCTCAGTGGTTCTGGCGCCTGCTTCCCAAGTGAAAGGTCTGAGTTCAATCCCTGGTACCAAAAAAATAAAAATAAACCTTACAGATTTGCTCGTTGGTGTCCAAAGTCCCTCTCATAACATGGCCTTGGGTAGTATTAGAAAGGCCAGGCCTTGTGACTGTGGTGACTTGGGGTTCGCAGATATAACTGTGCCTCCTTGATTCCAAATGAGGACCTGCACATGAGCCAGTGGTGGGCACCTGCTGGTGGGTCACAAGTGATGACACCCAAGACATTAGGTGTAGGCACAAGGAGCACCTGATCCCACCTGAGTTGGGGATGTCAAGAGAAGCTGCTGGGAGTGCTGTGATTGTTCCTTCCTGCAGCCCTTGCTGGCTGGTTAAGATGCAGCCTCTGCAAAAACCCTCACGTATCCCAGAATGGGTGCACACTAGCCAGGCAGTGCCCACTGTTGGAATGACTCTCTGGGATTAAAAATGTACAAGGTCCAAAGATGTGTGTGCTGTGTGGAGGAGACTACTCTTCCAGCTTCTGATGCGTAATGATTGCCTGCCCCCTGAGTGATTGACAGGTATACAGAGCATCCTGAAGGGCTCACCTACCTGCAACAGTGGCTGTGACTGGTAAGCTGTCATGGGGTTGTGCTCCATGATGCAAGCTCATCTGCTTCCTTCCAGGGTCCAGAGCCTCCAGCTCCATCCTGAGCTGCACCTCGCCCACCTGAGCTCCAGTACAGATCTGAATGAGGGCCGTGCCCGCCAACGAGCCTGGCAGCAAACACTCAACTCCCGCATCCAGCACATCACTCTGCAGCTGCTTGTGGGCATCTTCAGGTACCTCAAGGGGCATGCCTGGCATCTGGGAGAGGCAGCTTGCCTGTGGCACTTCAAAGAAGCTGGCCCCAAAGCTCAGACCGCTGAGACCATCTGACAATATGAGAGGCCCTGTCCCTGCCAAGCCTTTCCCTGTCATCACCATCAGCAGGTTTATTAAGAGCTGGGTGTTTTCATTCTGACCTTGGCTTGCATCCTCCTGGTTGTTCTCCCCTGTCAGTGGCCATGTGGATGGTTGGCTGCTTTGAGGTAGCGTCCAGAGGAACAGTCACAGACCTGCTAGAAAAGCTTGTCAGTGAAGGTGTACACTGGCCAAGGGCTCAGGGTCAGTCCAGGGAGGACCCTGTACCAAGAGGCCTGTATCTAGGGGGAAGGGACAGGCAGGTCATTTTTGTGTGACACAAAGCAGAAAAGGGAGCTCCTAAAGTAGCCTCCAGATCAGACAGGGCACTGCAAGTTTGGCACCTGGACAGTTTTCTTCTTTCCTCTCATCCTGTAGTTACCATTGCGAAAAGTCTGTTAGCATTGGAGCTAGAACTGGTTAGGTAGACTAGTAGTGTGTATCTCCAAGAGACACAGTGCAGAAATTGAGTTGCTATTTCTGGCTTAAATGTACTGTCATTTAAGGATTATATTTCAACTTGGGTAATTTTTAGGCCTTTTCTTTCTTCCAACTCTTTCTTCTCTTTCTCTTGCAGTGTTCTTTCCCCCTTCTTGCTGCTCTCTCCCTGAGTCCATAGCAAAGGAGGCACCCAACTCCAGCTCTGGTCCATTCTGCAGGGCCCTCTGCTCAGGAAGGCTGAGCACAGAGCCTGCCAACTTGCCAGGACTCTGCATGATTATTTCAAAACTGAAATGTTAATGGCTTTGTTCTTTTGATGTCTTTACTTACATAAATCAAATGATTTATTAGGAAAAAATGGGATGGTGTATTTCAGACAGATTATGTTATCTCTTTGCTCATAGCAGTGTAATTAACATGGTCCTGAGTATTATTTTCCTTTTGTTCTTTGAAGTTTTTCATGATCAAGGTGGTTGTCATTTTTTAAAAAACACTTTACAAGACCAACGAGTTGATTCAAAAAGCAGAAAATGTGATTACAGATTATAAAATATTATGTCCCCTAGATGGAATAATTTTTTTCCCCTCACAATGGAAGATAAACACAGAACATACCATGCACTGACTGTGCCCTCTAAGGTCATTGATCCTATTTGTTGAAGATTACTTTAGATGTGAGAGATTGTATGTCAAAAACCTATGGGTTTATAATCACAAGGGAATGGGGTGTAAGGGGGGAGGAGATTTGTCCAGGGCAGGCTGGTGGCTAAGTGGGGTCAACACTTAGGGAGATTGTCTACTCCCTGGGTCCCCCTTGAACTTAGCGTCATTCTCAGATAAGGGTTGATTATTGAGTCTTAATTGCATGACAAGCTAGGGGCTCTCCTGGAAGAGGCCAGTGACACTGTCTTCCAGGGGTCCATCCTAGCTGGAGAAAGTTTGCTGACCATGCAGTCCACCCAGACCCTCACATTTTGGGGATAAGGATAATCTCTCTGAAGAATAGGTTTGCCATGTGTATTTCTTGTCCTCATTCTTCTGCTGCTAAAAGCAGCATGTTTTTCATATGTTTAAAGTGATTTAGCACTTAGACTGCCCTTTCTTTGACAGGGAGGTGAAGAATCACCTGAATTACGAACACAGGGTGTTTAACAGTGAGGAGTTTCTCAAAACAAGAGCCACGGGGGAGCAGCAGTTCTATAAGCAGGTGAGAGGTGTGGACTTGGGCAGTCTCACCTGTGTTCAACCTATTTTACTTTTCTGTGTTTAAACATTTTCAAAAATAAGCTTTTATCAAGATCTGTTAATATTTTGTGTTTTCTTGTCCTAAGGGTTTGTTTTTACATGGTTCCTTTTGATCCTTTGGCTAGCTCTGTTTTTCTAGTACATTTTTGGTGTACATCATATTTTCATTCCTTGTGGGGAACTGATACATGTACCTATTACATCTTAATTTCTTTTTTCATCCTCTTTCTCTTCAGCTTTTAGAGTATAATTTGCATATAATAAAATGCACCTATTTTTAATGTGGAGTTTGACGCACTATGACAAATGTGCCTACTTGTGTAACAGTGTCCTCAATCTGGACATCAGACATTTCTGTCATCCCCAGTGCTTCCTGTGGTTCTTCGGAGTCACCCTTTCCTTCCCCCAGGCCCTGGAAACAGGTCGGGCTCTTTCATAGTCCCATGCCAGCATCATCTTAGCTGAGCTCTCTGGCTCAGTCCCTTGGCCTTTGGGAATGACCTCGGGCTCTCTCAACAGTTGCTTGCTGTTATTGCTAATGCCAAAGAATTCCCAGTGTTAGGGCAGAGCACACTCTGTTTTTCTGTCTGTCTGTTCATGAGCATTTGGGTGTTTTCAGGCTTTTTGGGGGGAGGGGGAGTGGCACTGAGGATGGAACCAGGACTTCTCACTGAACTACATCCCCAGCCCTTTTTATTCATTTAACTTTTTATTTTGAGACAGTCTTGTGAACTTACAGTCCTCCTACCTCACAGCCACTGAGTAGCTGAGGTTACAAGCATGCACCACCGAGCCCAGCTGGGTTTCAGTTTTTGTCCATTGCAAAAAGTGACATCATAGCCTTTAATGGCTCATGTCACTTGCAGAACCTCTCTGTCCCTGAGGGGTATGTTTTCACACCCCTGGGGTGGGCCAAGAGTAGCCTTTCGCAGGCAGTGTATAGTTCAGTCCCTCTGCTGTTGGTGTGTGACCCTGGCAGCTCCTGTAGGGCCCCTCTCTGGCCCAGGCTCTTCCTTCTTTCTGTTGAGAGCGTGAACCGCCCCTGCCCTCTGAGTTCAGGAAATTGGTTCATTTTCAACTTCCTGGACCTTATCTGACTAGTTCTGTGCAGGTTTGCTATGTCCAAACACATCCTGGGGACCCACTCCAGATATGTGGTCTCACGTGCCAAGCAGTTGGGTGGGTAGATGTGCACATTCTGCAGCCTGGGGAGGGTCGGGCCTGGAGGGAGACTTCTGAGCATCCTGGCACCTATGTGATGTTTAGCACCATGAGCCTGGCGAGGTCACCCGGAGCCAGTGTCAGGGAGGAGTAAAGGAACAAGCAGAGGAGAGGCTCAGACCTGGGCCTGCCAGGAAGTTGGGCAAGGGGTTCCAGCAAGGGAGCCAAGAAGATGCCAGGAATTAGGAGAAACACCTGGGGCAGGTGGTATGGAGGCAAGGGAGGAGGACAGAAGATAGCAGTGATCTCAAATGAAGACTGAGCGGTCACTGTTGTGACAGTGTGGCTCAGAGGCCAGCCATGGTGACCAGGACAAGTGGCTCTGTGAAGTGGTAGAGACCAAGCCATGGGTTTGGGAGTGAGACCTGGGTGACAGGCCTCGTGGGGAGTTTGTCTGCAAGGCTGTGTGGTGAGGGCCCTCCTACCTGGGGTTCCACCTGTCTCCTCTTCAAAAGGCCTCTCCCTCCACGGCAGCCTGAGGTGGCTTCCCCTGTGCCTCCCTGGAGACAGGAGACTTTGGAAAGTGTGGCCAGGCCAGTGCTCTTAAAATGCATCCTTCCTGTTTCCTCCCAGGTGACTACTGAGTATCCTGCTGATTCCTAAATGGAAGGACAAGTTTGCTTTCAACCTCTCTCCTTTCTTTTCCTTTATTTCCTTTCCCCTCTACCCTTAAGTGATTTCCCCCCATAATATGGTACATCATCACTTTGGAGAAATAAAGTAAAAAGACAAAGAAATTACCTATAGTCCCAGCAAGGATGACAGCACTGGAGAGACACGTTACTGCTACTGCAGACATGTGACTAGGGCCAGTTCTGCGTGCCCAGGGCACAGCCCGCACCTGAACAACCTTCATGCTCCTGCTACTGTGGCCAGCATCACCAGCTCTCTGCTGCTCTTCCTTCTTCTTTTCATCTTTCCGCTGTGTTTTTGGCATTTCTCTTGCTCTATGTACCAAGGGCTCCTCTGTTCGTGCGCATCCTGTCGGAGCTGCAGCCACCTGAGTGTGGGAGCACGGGGGCCGCTGTGCAGCCTGCTGTCCCCCAACTCACGGTGCAGGTGGGCAGAGCCGCAGACGGACCCCATGATGCTGTCACACAGGCTCATCCCACAGGGAGCATGGGGGAAAGTCAGGAACTGGAAATCAGGGCTCAAGGAAAATCCAGAACTCAGAGCTCCTGCCCTGTTTGGTAACCATGGTGTCTGGGCCTGGTTCTGGGATCTGGCAGTGCCACCGCTGAGCTCCAAGCCCCCTCTCTGCTGCTCTGCCCTGTGACCTTCCTGGCTCTCATGGTGATCTAGGGCCTAGCTGGGGCAGGTCCACCAGCTGGCTAAGCAGTGCTTCCGTTGTCATCTGCGCGGTCTCTTCCTGCCCTGTGCTTTTCTGCCCCATTCTGCACGTTTGGATCCTGCTTGGCCTTCTCTGGACCTCCTGGGCACCCTCTCCCTCTCCTCCTTGCCTGGGTTGGTGGCAGCTTGCAGGGAGGCTCATCTTCTTTAGACCACTTGCCCACATGCCATGGTCAGTAGAGAGCAGGTGTCTAGGGGAAACAAAGACACCGGTGTTCGAGAGTCCCCTTTATAGTGAAGACCCCGAAGGCCCTGAGTACCAGAGCCCAGCGGAAGTAGCCGATGCAGTGAGGGAAGGCAGACTGTGTTGTGGTGTGGGGCATAGGGGACACTTAGTGGGGAGTCAGTGGAGCCACAGATACTTACAGGCATAGCTGTTGTGGTGGCCAGATGGTTTAGGCTTTTGAATGTTTTGTGATTCTTCAAACACGGAGTGGCTACTTACCTGAGATCAGCAGGTAAAGACCTGGGGGATGCTCCTGGTAGGTTAGAACTAAATGTGGAAGCTCTCTGCTTTTAGGGACCTCTGTGCTGAGGAGCTGGTTCTGGTGGGGTCCTCAGTCTGTGGGGGCCGCTGTGGCCTTGAGCAGGGAGAGGAGAGAACCCTGAGCCCCGCATGATGCCCTCTTGCCATCTCCTGCAGGTTTTGGACACCTACATGTTCCATTCTTTCCTGAAAGCCCGGCTCAGCCGTAGGATGGACGCCTATGCACACATGGACCTCGACACCCAGTCCGAGGAAGACAGGTACCCTTCCTTGGCTTTTGCACATGACTCTGGTGACCAAAGTGCTCTGGTGGCATGGAGCACTTATTTGATAGAAAAGTGAGAGATTCAACAGGAAAACCCTGACATTTAGAAATTTTCAACAAGTTGGAAACAAACCCATGGGAGCACTCTGAGCATTCATTCCCAGCATTAGTGGGTCTGTGCTGTGCCCCGGACTCTGTCCACGCATGTTCTCCATCCTCAAATCTGCTCAGTTCTTCGTCCCTTCCTGAGGTTTTTCCTGACCACCTGGAACACACATAAAACCTGCATGGTGCCCTGTCTGTTTCTTGGACTCTGGGCTGTGCTGGGCCCACAGATATGCCATCTCCCCCACCTGCAGCACCAGGTGGGATTTAGGTAGCAGGTTGCCACCAGTGTGAGTGATTGTGGGCAGGGTTGCCCTGCACTGCTCTCTGCTCTGGATACGATGCCATGCTGATGCTTACTCCTCAATCGTTCTTGCTTCTCTAAAGTAAAGCTTTTTTTCAACCCTAGAATCAGGGGCATGCTTATAAGTCCCAGAAGGCCAACAGTGGAGAAGATGGCCTCGAGGAACCTGAACGCCACTCACAGGCGCATGGTGGTCAGCATGCCCAGCCTGCAGGACATCACCCTGCCTGAGCTGCCACCCAGGAATGCATCGCTTCGAATCATGGACACCACAGCATGCAGGACCAGCAGCCCAGGTGAGCAAGCCATGCCTCCTGGGTTCCGCTGTGGCAAGGCACTGAGGGGGAACTACAGCTGGTTTCCAGGGGAGGGAGTCGGTTTGTTTCGTTGTTTAGCAGCTTAATTATTTGCAATATGTTTAGAGCATTCATCTTGCAAACTGTAGAAAAGTATTCCTCATCACCTAGTGTCGGAGCAGAGGATAACAGGCATACACGGTGTGTAAGATACATGTTTGCATGTGTAAGTGCAGTGCGATGCAGCAGCTGCTAGGCCCTGCTGAATGCCAGGGACTGTCTAGAGGGGCCGGGGTGCAGAGCAGCCCTGGGCCTGGCCACCTTCAGCTGGCCATCCAAGGGTGGAGGCTCAGACTCCCCCTGGGGGCTAAAGCAGAGCCTTTGTGTGTGTGGTGGGGCGTTGGCTATGGAAGTGATGGTTTGGCAGAGACAGATGCATAGAGTCTGAGCTGCACCTCAGTGGTCTGGGGAGGCCCGGGCTGTCCTCTGCGGATGAGAGTGGCTGTCACCATGACCTGCACACTTGGGGCCCTGGTGGCTGCTGTCTTAGCTGAGCCGCATATACTGAATGTTACCTGGAGAAGAAGGTACCGGAAGCCAGGATGCTCTGTGAGCAGCACATGCTGTGGCCCCAGAGGGTTGCTTACAGCTGAGACTCAGCGCTCAGAGCAGCTGTTGGAAGGCTGACTGCTGGATCTGAGTCTCCTGCATAGCCACTTCCTGGCTGTGTGACCCTAGCCAGGTCTCTGCCTCTCTGGGCCCATGGTTCCTCTTCTGCACTGGGCCTGTACCGTACGCGCTCCTGCTGTGGGGACACACTCTGCTTTCTCGGCCTTTACCCACCAGTCGTGCGGTCTGTGTCCCTGCCCCCTTCTCCAGGTCTAGGCCAAGACCACACCTCTCAGCTCCCACAAGTGGAGCTGGCCTTGTGGGTAGCCAGGTTGCCTTCTGCATTCTCTGGGGGACTGGTCAGTGCTTGGCCCCTGGAGTCCCTTGGGCCACATTTGTTGAGGGAATTGGAGGGATGGGCACCTCTGGTTTAAACTGTGGCTGGGACTCAGTAGCTATGTCCCTGGGACAGATAACCTGGGCTATGGAGGCCCCACTTTTTGTGTCTGGCAGATGGGCAGCAGAGTAATACTCAGGTCCCAGAGCTGCTAAGGTAAATGAAACAATTACTTTATTTATTTTTAATTTTTTTAATTTTTTGCTTAAATTCTTTTATTGGCACATTTTAGGTATATAATACGTTTACATTTATCATGGGGTGCTTGTACCTGCACATGATGCATCTTGGTTCTTATTTTTTCCCCATTCCCTGTGCGCCCTTCACCCCTCTGCCCTTCCCTATTTACATAGACTTTGTTTCCATTTTTTTTCTTTTCTCATAATTTTTCCTTTCCATTCTTTTCTTTCCCCATCTCCTCCCACCAGAAACAATTACTTTAAAAGGGCAAGTACATCTTGACTTACAGTGTTATCTTCATCCTCAGAGCCCCAGCACTAATATTTCAATTTGGTATTAAGTTTCAGCAAACAAAATTGTTCAACAGATGCTAGGTGTTGTTAGTCTCAGGGTGCAAAATGGGGGGCTCTGGGGACACAGAGCTTTCTGGAAGGGACACACTGGTCCTTGCTTTGCCTTGTGTCCTGGCCCCATGTGTTCCTGGGACAGGCACACGTGTCCATTTTGAAAGTCTATGCTAATTATTGGCTTATTTCCCCTTAATTTGTTTAGTTCTGAATGTGGCTCCTAAGTCCACATATATGTTCAAGATTCCTGAAATCCACTTTCCGCTGGTGAGCCAGTGCATACAGGCATACCACTCCAACTTCGTCACCCTGCTGAGCAAGGCCATGAGCCTGCTGGGCCCTGACAACTCCCTGCTCCTGGCCAGGTACTTCTACCTGCGAGGCCTTGTCCACCTGACGCAGGGACAGCTGCTGAGTGCCCTCTCAGATTTCCAGAACCTGTACAAGACAGACATCCAGATCTTCCCTGCCGACCTTGTCAAGGGCACTGTGGAATCTATGTCGGCCTCTGAGCGTGCCCAGGCTGAGCGGACTCCTGAGCTGAGGAGGCTCATCACCGAGGTCCTGGACAAGCCGGGTGAGGCCGCCAAGGCAGACGATGCTGTGAAGCACTTTGAGCTGCCCAAGAAGCACATGCAGCTAGAAGACTTCGTGAAGAGGGTTCAGGAATCAGGGATCGTGAAGGACACAAACATCATACACAGGCTGTTCGATGCGCTGACTGTAGGTAAGAGGCCACATGCAACAGCACCCTGTTTAAACACAGCTGCCCCTGTGTCCACAAGTGCTGTATCCAGAGGCTCAACCAAGTGTGGATTGAGAGTATTTGTTTTGTTTTTTGAGACAGGGTCTCATGATACAGTTCAGGCTGGCCTTGAACTTGCGGCAGTCCTCCTGCCTCAGCCTCCTGAGTACTGGGATTACAGGCAGGTGCCATCATGCCTGGCTCAGATTGAGAATATTAAATTTTTTAAAATTGTGTCTATACTGAACATGCACAGATCCCTTTTCTTGTTATTATTCCCAAACAGTTCAGTAGAACAACTATTTCCATAACATCTACATTGTATCTGTGTGTATGTGTGTGTTTCCTGTACTGGGAATTAAACTCAGGGTCTCCTCAGTGAGCTATGTCCCTAACCCTTTGAAAACATTTTTGAGACAGGGTTTGCTAAATTGCTAAGTTGCCCAGGCTAGGCTCAGACTTTTAATCATTCTGCCTCAACCTCCTGGGAGGCTGGGGTTACAAGGATGTACCACCACACCTGGCTTGTATTAGTTACTACAGGTGATGTAAAAGTCTGTGGGAGGCTGTGTACCTGTTATGTGCAAATACTATATCATTTTATTCCAAAACCTCGAACATCTGTAGATTTTGGTATCTGCAGAGGTCCTGAAACATGACCCTCTCCCCAGATACCAAGGGACAGTAGTGCTTAAAGACAAAGGAATAGCAGCAGGCCAAGCACTGACAGGTACCAGGTGAGGGGCGACATAGCCCAGGTGTGGTGGGGTGATGGTGCCATCAGGTAGTCTTCCTATTGCTCCATCTCAGACTCGCCCTCGCTGGGCTTCTGGGCTGCGCCCCTGGTGGGGTAGGGGGCCCCAGGGCCTGTGATGGGAGATGGGAGGCAGTATCCTCAGAAGCTCTCACCTCACTGATGGCCTCATTTAGACAGCCATGAAAAGCTGTGCACCATGGAAGCAGAGTCCACACAGATGCCAGGTTTGAGAAGGCCTAGCCTCCCCTGCCTGCTGCAGGCCTGTTTGGGCCCACGTGCCTTCTTCCACAAGGGAGGTGCTGTCCCCAGCCTGCACTTTCCTTTCTGACTACAGGAGGGTGTGCCCAAACCTAGGGCACAGGCTGCATGTTTACACAGCCTACAGCTGCGTTAGGGCATCCGTACCTGTGAGCACCCTGTCTCATTCACAGTGTGTTGCAGAATTACGTGTGTTCACAGCACGGCTCTGGCTGTCCTCTTGGGCTGTGCTGGTGCTGCCATGTGGCAAGTGCAGCTTGTTTCTCCCTGTGGCCTTGAGGAGGTGTCCAGGGGCTTCACCTTCCCACATGACACTGAGTGGCCCCCTTCCTGCCCCCAGTGCACATGTGGGCTGTTCCTCTCAGGTTTGCACCCGAAGCCTAGGCTGATGTGTGTGTCTCTCCTTGGCACTGAGCAGACACCGCAGAGCATGATTGTGTTGATCCACGTCTGTCTGCCTCTTGGGACAGGCCAGCCGAGGATGCGCATGCTCTCTCCTCACTGGGAACTCGTCAGATCACACATCTGCTGGGCCCAGCTATTCAGTCTGGTGAGGTGGTGCCAGTCTAGTACCTTCTCTCGGGGCTTCTTATCCATGTCAACCAACTGTGGATCGAAAATATTCAGAGAAGAATTGCATCTGTACCGAACATGCACAGATTTGTTTTCTTGTTGTTATTCTCTAAGCAGTCCAGTAAAATGACGTTTGTATAGCATCTACTCTATCAGATAGTGAAGTCACCTGGAGAGACTTGCAGTGTACAGGAGACTGTGTGTGAGTCATGTGTAAGTCCTCTGCTCTTGTACGTGAGGGACCTGAGCAGAGCTTGGCTACCTGTGTGGCCCTGGGTGCTCAGGAGCAGGCCTGCTGCCTTTCCTGTGTGGCCACACAGGGAGACAAAGGCCCCATGGTTCAGCTGTGGGGATCCCTGCTGTCCAGTGGCTGAGACACACCGGGGTGATTGTCCCATCCTACCAGGACATGAGCGTGCCTGTGGTTCCTCTGTATCATCAGTAACCAGACTCCTCCATCTCCTCCACTTCTCTGGCCCAGCCTCATCACCTATGGTCACATGATGACTGTTGGATCTGATAGGAGGAGGGCCTGCCTGTCTCTTAGGCACGTCCTCCTCTTCCCCCTGTTGGGCAGTGTCATGTCTGAGGAAAGTGACACAAATCCAGTCCCTGATTCCCTTTAGGAAGTGCAGACTGAGCCTCCCCAGCCAGTGGCGATGCAGGGGACAGGTGTCTAAACCCTGAAAGAGGGTGCCGCTTGTGTTGGTGGCCAGGAGGTGTGTGCACCATCCATGCCTCTGTGACTGTGCAGACCTCACTACCCGGCGGCACAGGGGACTGCAGAGACCCTCAGGGTGCATCTGGCTTCCTGCTCTTGGTCTCCTTCAGCGACTGCTTTTGCAAACATTACACAGTGCGTAAATACCCTTAGGGTTGTGGGGTCTTTCTGTTAGGATCCAGTGACTTTAAAACTTTTTAAAAAAGTGAGTAATACACAACCACTACAAATCACTTAAAACAGAAACAGAAAGAACCACTGTAACTCAAAATGGCGCCATCTGGTGGAGAGTCCCATGGAGCATAGCCAGGAGCCTGCATGTGGTTTGGTGGCCTGTTGGGCCTTCCGGGCCGCCTCCCTTCTGCGCTCTCAGCTGCCATTATTTGGAAGCAAGATGTAAAAGTCAAGGAAGTTCCTTGTAAGCTTATTACAGCACCCACCCCTGCATGTGGCTGTTCCCTCATAGACTGCTGTGGCAATGACTTAGTCCCAACCCCATTATGCCATGAAATGCCCCCAGATAACTACCACCATAGACAGCTTGTTATTTTATGTATGTATGTATGTATGTATGTATTTAACTACCCATTTTTGCTACTGGGGATCAAGCCTAGGGCCTTGCACATGCTGGACAAGGGCTTTACCACCTAGCCAAATCCTCAGCCCTTTCCATTTTTTATTTTGAGACAAGGTCTAAGTTATGTTATCAGAATGGGAACATGGCCCAGCTATCTCAGATCCAGGCCTCTGGCTAGGCTGGGGACAGGAGGACTAGCCCAGGGCAGGACTGGTAAGGAGGGCAGATCTACCAACGCAGGTGGTCACACAGCCTGGCCAGAGTCTGGCTGTGGCTTCAGGGCCCAGCTCTGTGGGTGAGGGGCTTTCTGCTCTGTGCCTCAGTTTCCCAGTCTGTGGAGGAGTCTGATGATATGCTTGCCTCAGATGGTGGCAGTGAGGTGGTGGGATCCTCAGTAGAGTGTGGTGGACAGTTCTTGGTACATGATGTGGTCGAATGCAGTGGTGCCATGGGGGACGTGTGTGTGCAGCTTAGCAGTCACCCAGCAGGATGATCTGCCTTGTCAGGGAAGGGTTCACTTGGGAATTTACCTGGGTGTTGAGGGATCAGTAGGAGCTTCCTGGTCTGAGCAGTCAGGATGAGCATATGCAGAGACACATGAACATATGGTCTATTTTCGGACATACTTGGTATATCTGAAAATGGGGTATAAAGAGGAGGAGGGATCTGATCCTGGAGGCTTTGGGGCCTGCTATAGATGCACAGCCCTGGGATGTCTTCATGAGGGAATACAAGCTGCTACTTTTGTTTTGGAAAAGCCACGCTGGGTGATGGAGGGGTGGGGCATGTCTGAGGGTGGGAGCATCAAGTATGTTCCTGAGCAGGATGGGACATGTAGGGGGACAGAAAAGTGTGACAGATCCCAGAGATGTAGCAGAGACAGGACCGAGCCCAGACAGGTGCAGAGGCAGGGAAACATCAGGGCTTGGTGGGGGTGGGCTTGTTAACAGCTTTAGGGGGTATCCATCTTCCTTCTAGAGATAATGAAGCAGGTTCCCTCGGTACTAAACAGAGGTGAAGGTGGGCTTACTCCAGAGAAGGTTGGACTTTTGGGTAGGTTGTTGTTTCCTTGGCTAGAAGCAAACACCTTATTTGCTTACAACCAAAGAGCACCAAGGTAGGGCTAGTTTCAGGCAAGGCTTGATCCAGTGTGTAGGAGTGTCCCCAAGGATCTGATGTCTTCAACATTGGTTTCATTCCAGGACTATCTTCCTTAATGTCCCTGGAAGGGGGCTCCCCCATTCTGGTAGTGTAAAGGTCTGTGCACCGTAAGAGTGTCCTGGTCTCAGTATTTCCACCCAGAGCTCTAAGAGTTGCTATGACACCTGCAGTAGGGCACACAGCCATAGAAGGGCAGATGGGCCGCGCCCAGGTCGTGAGCCCCACCTGGACACACTGGGAGAGGCCCTCTGGGAAGGTCCCCATCCAGAAAAGCCTGAATTCTGGTGCCACCTGCTGCCTGGTTTGGGTAACACAGTTCTTAAGGTGATGCAAAGCCCCCTCTGCCTCAGCTGTAAGAAATCTTTTTTTTTTTTTCTTTCTATGAAACTCAGGACAGCAGAAACTGATCGATCCAGAAACATTCAGAAATTTCTACAACTGCTGGAAGGAGACAGAAGCCGAGGCCCAGGAGGTCAGTCTGCCGTCACTGGTGATGGAGCATCTGGATAAAAATGAGTGTGTCTACAAGCTGTCGAGCTCTGTCAAGACCAACCGTGGTGTTGGCAAGATCGCCATGACCCAGAAGCGCCTGTTTCTGCTGACTGAGGGGAGGCCAGGCTATGTGGAGATCTCTACCTTTAGGAACATAGAGGTGAGGTCACGGGAGCCCTGCCCGCCAGGCTGGAGTCAGTTCTGCTCCGGAAGGAGTGAGGACAGCCACATGCCTTTCCAGCAGGGCCACCCCAGCCAGTCCCCTTCCTGCACCTCAGTTTGTGGACCTGGAAAGTGTCAGGGTGGTTATGAGAATGGGATGGCTTAGGTGCTGTGCCTGAAGCAGTGGGTGCTTACCCACAACGCAGCCCACTGTGTGGGGACGGAGGGCTGAGAAGCCAGGCAGTGGCCTTCCAGCCGAGTCCATGGGAGAAGCTCGGGGCTCTTCTATTTCAGGGTGAGCTGCGCCCTGTCTCCGTGACCCCCAGGAGCCACTGTATCTTTCGTCTTTGTCTTTTCTTTGGTGGGGGTACTTCAGGATGGCCTATAGCCTGTCTCTTGTGACCCAGCGCCCTGTGAGTGCTTACTCTGACACAACTGCTATTTCTGCCTCTGCAGGAAGTCAGAAGCACCACGGTTGCTTTTCTCCTTCTGAGAATACCCACCTTGAAAATTAAAATGACGTCCAAGAAGGAAGTCTTCGAGGCTAACCTGAAATCTGAGTGTGACCTCTGGCACCTGATGGTGAAGGAGATGTGGGCTGGGAAGAAGCTGGCCGATGACCACAAGGTCAGTCACCCCTGCCTTCTGTGACCAACTTGGATGTCGGGCAAGTGGCCTGCTGTCAGGGCCCAGGGGTGAGGTCTGGTGCCCTGGGATGTTCTGTGACCCAGCCAGAGGCCTCTTGGCACATGGGGGTGCTGTGGCAGGAAACATAGGAGCCAGTAGGGGTGGGCTGACCATGAAGGCCTCGCCCCACTTCAGTGCTGTTCCACTGGATGGGGACAGGGCCTGGGCTGTGGTGATCTTGTTCGCACTGCTGGGTCTTAGTTGGGTGTTTTGGGCACACACTGCTTTGAGGAATTCCACCCTCCAGCATCACAGGATTAGGGATCTCAGGGGAGGCATTGGGTTTCTTCTGTAGCATTAAGTTTCTATCGTAGGGGGGTTTGTACTTTCATACCTTATTTTGGGCCAGATTGGTGGCTTTGATTATCCCGAGTGATGAGATCATGGTTTGTGGTGATGAAGGTGACAGAGACAGGTGAGGGCATGGGAGAGGCTGTTTGTATTATCTAACTGGAAAGCTGTGACAGGAAGCCTGTTAACAAACAGGGCAGGACTATGAGCAGGGACACACATAAAAGTAACAGTTCATAAAGTCATGGCACTATAGTCATCCCACTAGTCACTGGAAAAGTACAGGTGATGATGGCACCCACTGTGGGGCAAACCCTGGACAAAACAGAATGCCGAGGGCTTTGCAGTCACTGGAAGGGTGGACAAGGTCCTTTCTAAGATTCTAGTATTGTGCGATTTTTGGACTAGCACTTGATTTTACACTCCCTGCATTATATATTTAGCATAAACCAGCATAGTCAAACTAAATCCTGTGGGCTGGTAGGCTGTTTTGTATAACAAGTTTTACCGAGCCCAGGCCCACATGTTACAAAGGACTTGTGGCTGGCTGCTTGGTGCTGCTGGATGGAGCTGAGTGGTGGCAGCAGCAATGGTGTGGCCCCAGGGCCTGGAATGTTGGCTTTACAGGGAAAGTTCGCTGGCTTCTGAAGTAAAGCATCAGTACCAGCCTGAACTAAGTGGAAGAAGTGACGAGGCATGAACTCCGAATTCATCCTTCATTTGAACTCTTCTTGTTGCTGTAAGAAAATGTACTTTTAGAAGACCTGTTTCCCGTAAGGCAACAAAATCTCCGTCAAGTGGGCTCCGTGAGTCCCATGTATTGACATGTACCTGTTTCTGTCTTAGGACCCGCAGTACGTCCAGCAGGCGCTGACCAATGTCTTACTGATGGATGCCGTGGTTGGCACACTGCAGTCCCCAGGGGCCATCTATGCTGCCTCCAAGTTATCTTACTTTGATAAGATGAAGAATGAAAGTAAGACAAGCTCCACGCTCATACAGTAGTCTTGAGATCTCTCCGAAGTGATTTTATCTGCTTGATGTTTGCTTTGTCCATTAGAATGCACCTGAATCCCTCGCTCATTTTTCTCTCTTTAAAAAAATTGTTTTTCTTAGCTCATATGTGCAGTACATAATTTTATATTCCTTGTGGGGAGTTGGTACATGCACATAACACATCTTAATTCCTTTTTCCATCCCCTTCCCTCTCTTCCCTCTCCCCTCTCTCCATCTTGCTTTTCTCTTATACCTTCTAATGTATTTCTGTGCCCCATGCAGTGAACTGTGCTTCCCTTCTTTCACTAACAGTGGGCCTCACAGCTCTTTGTACGTCAGGACACATTGAGTTGTCTTGTAATTTGCTCATCTGGGGAGCATTTGTAAGAGGTTTCACATTGTAAAGCTTTGTCATGATTCTTAGTTGCAAGCAACAGAATTCCCTCTGGCTGGTGTAAGCAGGCTGGAAGTCTGTGCAAAGCTATTAAGTGGTCCGTGGAATCTCCCAGTGGCATGTTGATCTTGTAGTCAGAAACATGCCCACTGGGAAGTCATGGCCCCTCTACATGGCTGGCCTGTGGACTGGTGGACTTTACCACTGCATGGGGTTAGGAGGATGGTGAACATCAGTATGTATTTTTTTTTTTAAACTTGATTTGGTCAGTTTCCTAGACAGGGATTCTCCAATCTTCTTCCTGTGCATTTATATCTGGCTCTCACTTTCTGGAGTACACAGATTGGTGGTGGGCTGAAGTATGTTTTTTAGATGATTTTCAATTGAGGAGCAAAGGGGTAAATGACTATATGCATCATTTTAGCTACTTCTATTTTGTTTCCATTTTAAATGATCACTTACAACCATCTTGCAATCAGTGTGGAAAAGAAAATATATTGAGGATTACTTGTTACTATTAATGTGTAAAACCAATAATATAAAATTAATTTATGAAACATTAATAAACTAGGGATGTTTTACAAAAGACATCTAGTTTTGCTTGTGTGCATTTTGTTGAATTTTTTATAAGAGCTTTATTGGTATGTAATTTGTGTACCATACCCGTTTAAAGCATACAGCTTAGTGGTTTCTAGAATATCCACAGAGTTGTGTAACCATTGCCACAGCGGATTTTAGATGTTTTTGTCACCCCTTGAGCATCTCCCTCCCCTCCCGTGAGCAATCACTGACCTGCTTTTGGTCTCTATGAATTTGTCTATTTGGGGGCATTTCATACACATGGAACCCTACAGTATTTGTCCTTTAGTCACTGGCGTCTTTCATGCAGCAGCAGCATGTTCCTATAGTTCATCCACATTGTGGCCAGTGTCAGTCCTTCACCCCTTTCTGTGGCTGGATAATATTCCATTGTTTGGATTTTCTTTATCCATTCATCAATTAAAGAACAGTTGTGTCTACTCTTTGCCTACTGTGAATGATGCTGCTGTGATCATTCATGTACAAATTTGTGTGAGGACATTTGTTTTTGTTTCTCTTAGATAGATAGCTAGGAGACACTGGTTTTTAAAAACGCTCTCTCAAAATTAGAGAAAACAAAACCCAGTTGTGTGTTTATTTACTTTGGCATATTTTGCCCTCTTTGTGACATCTGCCACTGACTGCGGGATCCCTGGTGCTGTCTGGTCATTAACCCCTCTCACATGACCCAGAGGACCCTGCTCTGGTGCAGCAGCCAGGAAGCTCAGGAGCCTTGAGTTACCAGACCTGCTGGAGTGGCTCCAAGATGCTTTATCTCACAAACAGGCAGCATTTGCTCTTTTTTTTTTTCCCTTAGGAACAAAATCAAATAAACCTCGTGGTTTAGCTGCTTATATAGTTCCAAACTTACACTTGATCTTTGCCCAAAGTTTATGGAACAGCCTTCTAACAGTTTACACAGCCACCATGGTAACACTTGCCCCGGACAGCTCACTCTCAATCATTGGCAGCCTTGTTTCATGTGGCAAAGGAAGGACCATCTAAGCTCAGGTCACAAAACATGTCTGAGTTCCTGACCCCTTCTTAGCAAATCAAGAAATATTTTCCAGTATATAGAGCTTCATGAGGTAAAGGTGCAAGATCCATGATCCTGAGCTCAGCTTTGTAGCTCATGGTTAGTTCACAGTGAGGGGTCTGAGAATGCCCCAAGTATGATGATAATTTGGGAAACAGGCAAAGAGGCAAGAGCAGCCAGCCCAGGTTGGGGTCCTGGCTGACTACCTGCTGATCCTGTGATCTTCAGTAGTTCAACTGCACATTTCAGGTTTTCGTCTTTGTTTTTTCCTGAGGGTAACAGTATCAATCTCATCAGATCTTATGAAGTGTAATAAAATGAGGGAGGAAGCTGGTAGTGGTGGCACATCCCTGTAATCCCAGCATTCCAGGAGGCTGAAGCAGGAGGATCATGAGCTAGAGCTTAGCCTAGACAACTTAGTGGCTTAGTGAAACCCTGTCTCAAAGGAAAGAGGGAAGAGAAGCAGATGGTGAGTACCTGCACAGCCCCCAGCACCAAGATTGCAGTGACTCATTTGTTAATGGGCGAAGGGGCTGGTAAGGTCTCCCAGGAAGTCAGCAGGAGGGGCCCACCTCCCAGAGGGTAGTCCCCAGAGCCCCACAGAGAGGCAGTCATAGGCTCCATGGGGAACTCAGTGGATTGTGCAACAGAGGGGCAGGTGGGAGACTGCCCTCCTGGACAGTGGTTCTAACAGGGGTGACTTGCACCCCACTTCGGGGAGACGTCTTGGGTGTACTTTGTGTGTGGGGCTGGCCTGGTGCCTGGAGAGTGAGCCGGGATGCTACTGACACTATGCAGTGTGGGAGATGCAGGACAGCCTCACCGCAGAAAATGTCACTCCTCTAGATTTAGTCTCCTTGGTCCCTTTCATCTGGGACATGTTGGTGTTGAGAAATGTTTAAACCTTCTCTGCTTGGCAGTAACTAGTGGGCAGGTGTGGCTGGAGACCGGGTAAGTGGCATCCAAGCCGAGAGGAAGGTGGGGTATTCGATAAAGCCCTGTCCACCTTGCCACTGCTTTACACGACAGGAAACCAGAGAAGGGCATCCTGAATGCTGGGTTCAGATAACTTCCTCAGCAGGAATCATGTGGTTTTACCCAAAACTCTTGATCTGAGGAAAGCAGTGTGTGTAAGGCCATCAGTAACATCACTGTCATGTGTCTGCAGAACTAACCCTCGGGGGCTTGCATTTCAGTGCCCATGGCTGTCCCCAAGACCACCTCAGAGACGCTGAAACACAAAATCAACCCTTCAGCAGGGGAGACTGGCCCACAAGCCATTGATGTCTTGTTGTACACACCAGGTAACAGGCTATCCTACTGGTTTATGCTGCTAGGTTACAAACAACCCAATAAATTTAGGTTTGGGTTTGAGGTCAGCCCTAAGAGAGGAGGCAACATTGTGGTGGAAAGGGGGTGTTTTCTGCTCTTGGGGTATAATCTTGAGGAAGGGTTGGTACTGCTGGGCCCGCTCCAGCACTTGGCTCTGGTGCCCAGCATCTGGGGATCCCAGGGGAAATGGAAGGGATCCCGTGGAGCTTTCCTCCCTGCCTCCAGTGAGCATCCCTCCCTCTGTAGCAGGTGATGTAAGGTGCTCGGCTCACGTCGTCTCCCTTGGGAGTTACTGCATGTCTCTTCTGGGCCAAGGAGATGGCGCCCCAGCTGTTTGTTGCCGCAGGAACAGGACACAGACTCCGTCACTGACCCAGTCAGATGGGTAACGTGGCCAGTCCTTCCTTGTGGACAGAGTGAACAGTGAGCATCCTCGGTGCACTCGTGCGGCCATCACGTTGGGGATGGTGACCCCACTGAGGTGTCTGAGCAGCCGTAGGCAGGCACGTGGAAGCCACATGGTGCGGCTCTCTCCCAGGAGGGCATTCTGTCCCCGGCACACTGTGGGTTGGTCTAACCAAGGCTCTCTGATGACCTCATCAGATGTTGCACCACAGCAGATCCGAGCCAGTTGCTTGTTAGAGCTGACCAGACGCTGGGCTTCCTGTCTTGAGGGGAAAGTAGTCAGATCCCTGCTCTCTGTGCCTCTGCTGCATCCCCATAAAGGCTGGGGAAGTGGGGAAGAGTAGGAAGCTGCTGTTCCCTGTGGCCTGGCTGCCACTTCTGGGGACTGGGGAGCGGAAAGGGAACAGAGCTTTCCCAGCCTGCAGGGCCAGATGGGGCAGAAACTGGGGTTGGGACAGCCAAGATGGGCAGTTCCTGCAAACCCATTAGTTCAAAAAGAGTTGGGAGAACCAAGTCTGTGAGCCTCAAATGGGTGGAGAGAGTGTGCAGTGGATCCCCACCCTGGGGGCCAAGGACTAATGGAATAGACGCCCCCAGAAAGGCAGCAGGCCTGTGGCCCCTGATCAAGGACAGAGGTGGCTCTGCTGGGCAGGTGGGCCGAGGGCAGTCTCACCACACACGGTGGGGTGACACAGTGTCTCCATGTGGGGAGGTAAGTCCTGACCCACTTCAACCTGTCACCATTCCAAGGGTACAGAAATCTACATGTGACAAGCACAGCAAACAGCAGGTAGCTAAAGCCAGTAAACTGCCAGATACATACGCACAAAGCATACTTGTGACTGCGGGGCAAGCAAGAACTCCTGAGCAACATGTGGAAGTACTGACTGAAGAAAAAGATGGACTTGACTACATTGAAATGAAGTATTGTTCCACAATATTTCCAAGAGTGAACGTACAAGCCACAGATGGGAAAGGCCATTTTGGCACAATAGAATGGTTAGGGGCTCCTAGCCACATAGGGACGAGACCCTCAAAAGTTGCGAGAAGATGAACACTTTACAGAAAATGACATCCCAATGGCCAGCAAAAACCTCGGCCTCAAGAGCAAGAAAGGAAATGCCAATAAAATTATAGTTATAAAACCCTAAACAAACTGACATAGGACATGGTGGCCCTGTACCCCCAGCACTCAGAAGGCTAATGCAAGAGACTTGAAGCCACCAAGTGTTGGTGAAGCTGTGGAGTGAGAGTCCTGGCCATGTACTCGGTGGCATGGAAGTTGGTGGAAGCCCAGTGCTCTGGCTTCAGTGTCTCCAGCTGATCCTTCCCCTGTGTGCTGGGAGCCCACTGGCTCCTCGTCCTGACCCTGCACCTACAATGCTACTCAGCAGTAAACCCTCACTGCAGACCTAGCTCAGCAATGCAGCCTGCACTCCCCACCCCCGATCTAGTTCTGTCCGTCCATGTGGTTCTGTGGCAGGCAGCCCCTTCTCGAGGCACCAAGATCCACATGGGCAGGGCAGGGCAGGGGGTGGCCTTGCTCCTCTCAGCGTCTCAGCACCTAGCACAACTGCTGGCACTTAGTAGGTGCCCAGTAAATATGGAGTAATGTCACATCGCCTCAGCCAATACACTCCAACACGGCTGCTCTTCTCTTTAGGGCACCTTGACCCTGCAGAGAAAGTGGAGGATGCTCACCCCAAGTTGTGGTGTGCCCTGAGCGAGGGCAGAGTGATCGTGTTTGATGCCTCCTCTTGGACCATCCACCAGCACTGCTTCAAAGTGGGCACCTCCAAGGTGGTGAGTAGATGAACCCACTCAGTTCAGACAGCTGTGTGTGGCTTCAGGTGCACGCCAGGTCCAACACACGAGTGTGGTGGCCTGCAGTCCTCAGAGAACACATGGGCTGTAAATGGGAGGTCTGTTGTTTTTACTGTGATTTTAAGTTAAATGTAAGCTCATCCCACCCTTTTTGCTTAGATGGCCTTATTGAAGGTTGAGGTAATGGCTTAACCTCCCACCCACCTTTCAAAACCCCGGGATGCTCACGTGCCACAGCATGGTGCACACATGATGGGGTGATGCCTTGAGGTGGCCGAAGACCATGCTCCTGGTGAATCCTGGAGTTTGCTGGTGAGGGGTGATAAGTGGGTTTCTTTTGGACCCAAAGGGGAGTGAGCTGTCCCTCTGGAAGTGTGAGTGGGCATCCAGCTACCCTGTGGACCAGACAGCAGACACCACAGCTGGCAAAACACATATCACAATTAGTCCTTTGAGTCATAGCAAGCTCAGGATTTCACAGCAAGTACAACTGGCAACACATTGAGTCACATGTCCTTGGCACTGCCATGGTGTGACCTGTCTCATAAATCATACAAACCTATGTACATATCCCAGGACCCCTGTCCTCCAAGTCTCTCCATGGGAGACCCCCATGCCTGTGGCCCCTCTGGTCAATGTGACAAGTGTCTCCTGCCAGTCCCCAGGCACTCATGAGACTGAGCTTTGCTGTCTGTGCTTTGCCAGCCCCCAGGCACCCCATGGTGGCACATCCTCTATGCACGTTGCACTCGTTCTATCTCTTCTTGCTGGTGTGCATGTGTTCTTTAAACCCCACACTCAAACGGCATCCGCGTCTACACATCCCCCCGGTGGCTTCATCCTGTTCAGGACATTCTGGGGACATGGAGGAACCCTCCAGGGACACCCTCACACCCTTCTCCTCCACATGATGCAACCTGTTGAGTTCCTGTTGAAGGTGAAAGAGGATCTGCTTAGGCTCATTAGGCCCTGTAATGATCAACCCAGGGTCTGGGTTTCATTATCTAAAAATAATAGGACAATCTGTGACACCGTGTATGCTTTCAAGACTGCTGTACAATAGAAGTACTGTGAATGTGCTTACTTCTGGGGAGGAGGAGGGTCACTCTTAGTGCCTGCGTGACTGTGAGCAAGGTACTGAGACAGTGCTTGGTCATTTTCTTTCCATGTTCAACTGAGCCTCAACTGAATAACTAACAGGATCCATAATACAGTAAGTCAAAATATTTATAAAGGGGCAATAATGCTTTTAATCAAAACATGAAAGAGAAATTAAGGAATTGTTCTAATTTAATTTTTTCCTGGTGGCTCTTCGTTATAACATTTCAAAGACTTTTTGATAACAATAATTTAAAAATCCTAGTTAAAAATAAAATCAAAGGCTACATTTTGTAACAGTTTTTACTATGCTCCAACTAGGCCTCTGAACACTGAATGCAACATGTTATCCAGTTATGTGAAAATATCTTCCTACCAATTTCACAGATATTTCATATCTTTCCATAAGACAGAAACCTGGAAAATAGCTTAAGAAAATGCTGCCTCACTGAAGTGTGAGGTTCAAACTGATTTATCTAAGACATCTTATCTGGGGCCATATAGGCAAGACATTTGCCAAAATCACACCAATTCTTAGGTGGATACCTAAAAATAAAGGGCTCTTTTAAATGAATAGCTCTTGTATTAACAAGTTGGCATCTTTTCTAAATTATGGGAATTTTTATGACTAGAATTTAAATTATTAATTTCATAAGATTTCTTCTGACTTAAGGTTATAACCACCATCAACATTGATTATGTCTAATGTTGTACCTAGTCCTCAGCACCCTGCCAACATGATATCACTTTTACTCTTTGAAAATCTATGTGTACTTGAAACTGTGAGACATTTATTCAGCAATGCAGCGCGGGCCATGGCATGGATGGAGACAGGAGAGGCAGTCACAGCAGGCAGCGGCTGCCCGACCGTCTCTGTTGGCACTGCTGGGGCAAGTCAGGCCCCAGACTGATTGCCAGGTGCAGGAACACAGCCCTATTCCATGTCATGTACGACTTTGCAATTCTTTGGAGTTTTAAGCCTTGCTTTACAATATCAAAAAGCCCCATGATAAACAGCAAAATTGCCGACTGTTGGCCTTCGTAAGTAGCAGACCCCAAGGACACTCTTTACAAACAGCCCTATTGTTGGTTGCTCCTATGTGGTAGACTTTCCTTTCTAAATTCTTCTCAGCCACCTGCTAAAATTTATTTGTGACCCCAAATATGTATTCATGGTGCCTTCTTGGTTAGGCACAGAGTGGGAAAAGCTGAGTTGCTGATGTGCACAACCCAACTGAGGCTGACGAGTGTCACCATTTTCTCTCTGCACTCAGACTGTGTAAGCAGCCTTTCCATGGTCATGGTTTTTGCATTTTTTGCATTTTTTGCGTTTTTTGTGCTTTTGTTGGTGACTTTGCTGTTTAAAGTGGCCCCAAGAGTAGTGTTCCTATGTACACAGAGGCTGTGATGCACCATGGAGAAGAGAGGGTCAGATGCGCTTCGCCCAGGTGTGGTGATACCCTTGTCCATGAGTTCAACATTAATGAAGCAACAATATGCACTCAATAAACGGTCTTTGGAGGAAACACACAAGCCTAAAACACGGTCACACATTGATCCATTGAAGACCCATGATCAGAGGCCCTGGGCCCAGCACTGTTTGTCCCAGGAGCAAGGTTCAGTATTGGGTTACTCAGTGTTTATGGCACATTTGTGGAACATAACTCCATGAGCACTGAGCATTGTTCTTTTCTGGCCTCCCCTTAGAACTGCATGGTGATGGCCGAGCAGAGCCAGGTGTGGGTTGGCTCAGAAGACTCCATCATCTACATCATCAACGTCCACAGCATGTCCTGCAACAAGCAGCTCACGGACCACCGCGCCGCCATCACAGGGCTGATTGTGCATGATGGGAAGAAGCCCAGGTACAGGGCCCAATCGGGGATGGAGACTCACTAGGCCTACAGGAGGGGTCCCCTAGGTGCATGCCCCAGGGACCAGGAGGGCGATTGAGTGGGATAGCCAGGAGGTGACAGGCTAGATCTGCTTCTGTTATGGGTACAAGAGGGGTGTTTCTCCTGAGACTGACCTGGCTTGGCACCTGGCCTTCCTGCTGAGGTCCTGGACAGTGGAGGCCTGTGGTAGAAGGGTGAGCACCGTGTAAGAATAGCACCCATTATCGGCAGTTTCCTCATTTTTCCATTGACATTGGGAATTTGCATTTCTGTGTGAGCTCACTCAAGTTTTCAGCCTTGGCTCCATTTTTAAATGTCATTGTAAGATCCCTTCAACCCCTCAAAACTTACCTGCTGGCTAGCAGTGTACAGACTGACTAGGACCAATGAGGTACTTCTCTCTGCCAGCTGTGGGGCCGATGTCAGGGAGCTGTGTCCCTTGGCCTGGCTTCAGCTGGTTTTTTTGAGGGGGGGGCTGGGGTCCCAGTGATCTTCATTTTTAAATCCACCCAGTGGACTTTCCCTTCTCGGCCTTGCCCTCCCTTCAGGAGATGAAGGACAGGCAGCTCCAGACTCTACCTGTATTAATCACTTTCCCAGTGCTGGGGCAAAATACCCCACAGCCACAACCTAAAGAAAGAGAGGCTTGGGCCAGGTATTTAGCTCAGTGGCACTTGCAAACACAAGGTCCTGAGTTCAATCCCCGGTACCAAAAAAAAAGAAAAGAAAAAAAAAAAAAAAGAAAGAAAGAGGTTTATTTTGGCTCATGGTTTCAGAGGATTCAGTCCAAGGCAGAACAGCATTGTAGAAGAGCATGGTAGAGGGAAGAAGATTGATCTGTGGCAGCCAGGAAGCAGAGTAGGAAGGAGCTGGGGACAACAGTATACTTTTCCAGGTCACATCCCCAGGCCCCACCTACTAGCAGCATGTTCAGCCTTGAACTCATCAGTGGATCAACCCCCTATGAGTACAGTGCCCCCACGATCCATTCACCTTCCAAAGACCCCACCTCTGAACACATGAGACTTTGGGAGACCTTTTAGATGGAAACCATAGCACCACTGCAGGCACCAGTGAGCCCCTCATCCACCTGTGTTCCCATCTCTAGCCTCACCCCACCTGGACCAAGTTCTCCTGGAGGAAAAGAGATTTGAACTACTGAGACTGTCCTGGTCCATGGGAGGCTTCCAGAGAGGGCACAAGGTGGCCCCAAGACCACACAGATTGGACGTGGGTTGAGACTAGCAGGCTGGGGGCCTCCTATGCCCACTTCCCTACCATAGGGAGTCAGCATCCCAAGGAAGAACTGTAAAGGTTATTTCTCTGGCCCCATCCAAGGGTCCCCACGAACTCCTGCCATCTCTTCCCAAGCGCCCACCTTCACATGACCCCTCCCCATGTCCTAGCAAACCACATCCCTTTCTTTTGCATTAGTTTTGTAAGGCCACCCTAACAGAACACCACCAGTGAGTTAACTTAGAGCAGAAATTCACCCAGTTCTGGAGGCCAGAAGCCCAAAGTCAAGGTGTCGTCAGGGCTTCGCTCCCTTTGAACCCTTTGTGAAGAGTCCTTCCTTCTTGATCCAGTGCCAGGTGGCTGATGGTCACCTGTGGTGTCCCTCATGTGTCATGTTGCAGGGTCCACAGCTCCCTTGTGTGTAAGGAGACGCCAGTCATGTCCCACCACGGTGACCTCATTTTAACTCGATCAGGTCAGATTCCCAGATACTGGTGTTTGGTACACCGACATATATTTTCTCAGGGCCACAATCCCAGCATAATCCCAGTTTGGGTCACTGTGTCAAGAATGCCTGCTTCTGTTTTGCCCACTCTGTGTCCTGTGGAGAGAACAGCACCCAACATGCATGTGCTGGCGAGGTGGGGTCTCTGTGTTGCCCCTGGGGAAGGGGTACTTGGCAGGCGAGCCCAGCTCCCATGCCTCCCTCCACGCTGGCTGTCCTCCTGGCCCCCTCTTATCCTTACTTAGCTCCAGGGAAACTTGTCAGGTGGGACAAGGGCACAAACCTGATAATGGAACAGGCTACAGGTTATGGGAGTCACAGGTGGCACTGGCCACAATCTGCCCTCCAGCAGCTGTGGGTTTTGTTTTATTTTGAGACTCACTGTGTAGTTCAGACTGGCCTTGAACTCACTATGTAGCCCAGGCTGGCCTTGAACTCACAGGAATCCTCCTGCCTCAGCCTCCTGAGTACTGGGATTACAGGTGTGCACCACCCCACTTGGCCTCAGCTGTGGGTTATTAAACCCAGTGCCGAGGTGTGTTTGCCCTCTGGGCTTCCCTTGGAGTTGTGTGGCTCTTTGTTGAGACCAGATTGCTGGTAATGGTTAGCTGTGGCTTCACTCACCAAGCCTGTGGCCAGCCTGGCCTGCTCTCTGCTCACATGTTCACAGGATGTGGCACATTACTTAGATCCCTGTGGTGGACTCCAGCGGTGGCCTTGCTCCTCCTGTGGTTGGAACACACAGCGCTGCAAGGGCCCAAATCAATGTGTGCATGTTTTTGGTCCCTCCAGTGAGGTCTACTCCTGCAGCCTGGATGGGACAGTCCTGGCATGGAACGTCAGCACACTGCGGGTGACCTGCCACTTCCAGCTGCCCTGCTGTGGCCTCACGTCCATCAGCCTGCACAGCAGCAGCCTGTGGTGCTGTAAGTCCGGTGCCTGGCTCCCTGCCTGGGAAGGAAGGGCCCCTTCCCAGTTACTTCTCTTTGCTCCCAGCAGCCTTTCCCCTGCCCCAGCCCTAGCCCTCTCCACACCTGCCCCTCCCCTGCTCTCAGGGGGCCCTGTTCTTGGGGTGACCCCCGTCTAGGTGCTGAGGTCATGGTGCTGCCCCTGGCGTCCTCTACAGCCGTGTGTGTCACCACCTTCCCCAGGGACCAGGTCAGCAAGGCCTTGGTGTGGTTGCCTGTGCTGCTCCTAGCACATCCCTGGGGCCCTTCGTGTCCTTGGAGCCACGCCAGCATTTTTCAGGGGTGGTGGGCTGTGCATACCTTGGCCTGGTGGCTCATGTTCTGTGTTTCTCAACACCCTAGGGTGCAAACACTACCTGCACTTTGAAGGCTTCCCCGGCCAGCATGTGCCAGACAGCATGAGTAACAGTCATGAATTTCATTCTTTAGTTGAAGGATATTTTACATATAGTAAAATGCACAAGTATGCAGGTTGTTGTATTATGACAAAAGCATAATTGTCCCTCGGTGCCTGCAGGGGACGGTTCCAGCCTCCCCACAATATCAAAATCCATGGCTACTCGAGTCCTTTGTGTAAAATGGCACAGTGGTTGTGTAGAACCCATGTATATCCTCCTATACCATACACTTTAATCATCTCAAGATGCCTTATAATACTTAATGCAATGTAAGCATTACATAATTATGCTGTACGGTTTAGGGAACAATGACAAGAGAAAAGCCCAACTTGTTCAGTACAGACTTGTGTGTGTTTGTGCTCAGGACTGAGCCCAGGGCCTGTGCATACTAGGTTAGTGCTCTATTGCTGAGTTGTACTCTCAGCTCCTGATTTTTTTCCCAAATAATTTCAAGCCACAGTTGATTGAATCCACAGATGTGAAACACACAGAGGGCTGACTGTATACACCGAATAATGGTGGAAAAATCAAGATACAGCCCACTTACCACTGCTAAAATTCCTCTGGGTCCCCTTCTAGGCCATGCCCTGCTCAAAGGGGATGCAGTTTAATTTTTCAGAACTTAGTGGACCCTACAATATATATTGTTTCATCTGGCTTTATTCATTTAGTATAATACTTTTAGGGTTCATCTATGCTACTTTGAATGTCAATAGTTCATTCATTTTTTTTTTTTTTTGGTACCGGGGATCTAACTCAGGACCTTGTGGTTGCGAGGCAGGAACCACTGAGCTAAATCCCTGGCCCCAGTAGCTCATTCATTTTCATCACTGAGTAGTGCAGTATTCTGTGTGTTAATATACTGGCACGATTCTATGTCACCTATTCTCCTAGGGTGGACATGGGGTTAATTGTATTTAACTGTGTGAGGAACTGTTGGTTTCTCAAAGCAGCAGCACCGTCCCGCATTCCCACAAGCAGAGTACGAGGGCTCCAGTTTCTCCACATCCTCACCAACCCTTCCCGTCCGCCATTTTGATAACAGCCATCCTTGCAGGCACGAGGAAGCACTGTGGTTTTGTCTTCACTTGTTTACTCACTGCTTGCACATCTTTTTGGGAAATATTTGTTTGTTTTTGTTGTTGTCTTGCAGTGCTGGGGATGGAACTAAGGGCCTTGCATTTGCCAGGCGAGCACTCTGCCACTGAGCAACATCCCAGGCTGGGAAATGCCTATTTAAACCCTTTGTCCACTAGTTTAGTCACTTTTGATGCTATTTATCATATGGTTGGCTGTAAATCTGTTTCTTTTCTTTTTTCTGGTCTGTTCTCTTTCTTTTGTTCTTCTGTTCATGCCTTGTTTTGGACTAATTGAGTATTTTACTCTTAACTTACTCTTGCTTATTGTCTTTTTAGCTCTACCTCTTTGTTGCTTTATTTTTTACCCCTACCTCAACCCACCCCAGATAATTCCGGCAGCCCTTCATGTGTAAGCTAAGAAACTTGCAAAAGCCTAAGTCCACCTACCTCTCTTCCCTTTGTGCTGTTGTTGAAGACAACACAGAAGACTATGATAAACCCCAGAATATTTTTTTAATCAGTCAGAGCTCTTTTAAAGAAAGTAAGAAAAAAATTCATTTTGTCAATGTTTACATTCTTGTGCGCCTCCTTCCTTCCCATAGATTCAAGTTTTATCTACGTCGCCCACTTCAGCCTGAAATGTTCCCTATGCAGGTCTTTCATTCAGAGCCGGCTGGAAACAGACATTAGCCCAATGGCGTTTGTTTTCTCAGCAGGTTAGAAACACTGATCCACTGGCTTCTAGCTGGCTTTGTCCCTGACCAGCAGTCTGCCATCCTTCCTGGTGCTGTTTGGCTGTATAAGCTTTCCAGGTTTTGTTCTTAAGTGTGAAGGCCTTTGTGCATATGGTGGGTTTACTTTCATCACTGGAGGAAGTTTAATCATCGTCTCTTCCAATATGATTACACAAATGTTTATCACCATCCCCCAGCTCTTGGGCACTATTTTAATTTTTGCGTTCTCTTTTCTCTCCATGTGTTGGTTTGGATAAGACCTGGGTGATAGCTTTCCATACCTGTTCAAAATACCTGAGAAAACATCTTAAAAGGAGTAAAGGTTTATTTTGGTTTGCATCCCATGGTTGCTTTGGGCTTGTGGGGAGGGACAGACACATCACTGTGGGTTGTGGGGTATAGAAAGGCTGTTCATCTGCTGATGGCAGGAAGCAAAGGGAGAAAGAGAAGGGTCAAGCCCCCCAATCTCCTTTAAGGGCCCCAATTTCCTTTCACTAAGCTCCACCTTCCCAGGGTTCTACTCCTTTCCCAGTAGCGTCATGGCTGGGAAACATTCAAGATCCAAGTGATAGCAACCTGAAACTTTCTTCTCGGTGTCCTGTCTGCTATTAAATCTACTCAGTAAATTTTCACTGTAATTCCAGAACTTCCATTTAGTATTCTGGTAGAAGTTCAATGTTTCTCTTAAAGTCTTCATGTCCTCACCTATCCTATCTATACCTCTTATCAATTTTTAAGCATATTTGTATGTCTGGCCTACTGAGGGAGCAGCAGTCCCACATCTGCCCACATCTGCACCTTTGGTTGTTCACACAGCAGCGCGGATGCTGAGCTCTGCCCTCTCCTCCTGCAGTAGGGGCCCATGTAGCCTTAGCACATGACAAGCTTAAGGATGCAATGTCAGGGGTGGCCTGGGAGCTGGTGACTGTTGGGGAGGAGCCTCTGTGGCCCCAGGGAGAGGCCCTCTCTACAGGGGCTTCCTGTGGCTCGTGGCTCCTGCTGGCAGCCATTGCTACAGAGCAGCCACCTGCAAGGGCCTTATTCATCAGCCTGAGTGGGTAACCGCATGGCTGGATAAAAGGGTTCCTGGAGGATGCTGCTGTTTGCGTATTAGGTCTCTGGCTCAGAGGTCCCAGTTGAGAAATAAATGCAGCTTGGCTTCTGGGCTATCAGGGGCCATTGCCCAGGTGAGGCTGAGGGCTGGAGGGGCCGCAGTTCAAGGTTGTAGTAACATGAAGCCAACACTGCTTTTCCAGGCAGCACCTCTTACCTCCTGGCACTGCATCCCCTGGGCCTCTTGCCTGTCAGATGGGTCCTCCCACGGGCCAGGCCTGTGGCTCCTGTCCTGTGTGCATCACGGCTGTCGCACTGGGTGGAGAGGGGATGAAGAGCTGCACACAGTGATAGCACAAGAAAGGAAGCTGGGCAACACTGAGCCTTCCCTTCAGGCATCTCTGCCCTCACTGTAGATGTGGCTTTGCCTCTTCCGTGGCTTTTGTCTCACAGAGACTGAAGATCTCAGTTTGCAAAAGAGCATTTTACCTGAGTGAGTTAAGTAGCAGCTGAGAGAAATGCCAGAACCAAGCATCGGTATGTGCTTTGAATTGCAGTGGTCACTAAGTGGGTTAAGAACCACTTTCATCAGGTGGCAGAAAACTCAAATCAGTGGTTGCCAGACAACTTCTTAAGCAGCCGTGGTTTCCAGCCACATTGCACAAAGCCTCAAAAGAGGGTGGAGAACTCCAGCTGTTTCCTTTGTAGACAGGGGGCTCACAGACTTGGCATAGTGGTACACACAGGTAATACCCGCACTTTGGGAGGCTGAGGCAGGAGGACTGCAAACTGAAATCCTGGACGAGCAATTTAGTAAGCCCCTGTCTCAAAAAATAAAAAGATGTAAGGATGTTGTAGCTCAGTGGTAGAGCACCCTCCCCCTGGGTCTGATCCTCTGTGCCACAAAAAAAAAGAAGAAGAAGAAAGAAAAGGAGGAAGGAAGGATCCTTGCAGTCACCAGTGTTGCTGTGTAGACTGACAGGGAGAATGTGAAGCGCCTTGCCCACTCTAAAGCATCACCGGGGACATGTGCCACACGGCAGTCCCTCCGCTTATGGACTTGTCTGCCTGATCCTCATCCCAGCTCTTTCCTGCAACAGGCGCCGGCAGCAGCATCGTGGTGGTGACAACACACGGCTTCCTTTGCCAAGAGCTGAGGATAGACGAGGACCTTAGGGAGGCAAAGACCTCCTTCCTGGGCCTGCAGCTACTCCCCGAGGTACTCCACAGAGGGGTGCGGGCACGGGGCGGGCTGCCTCGGCTCGGCACAGCACACTGCCAGCGTCATTTTCATTTTAGCAGGGGCAGTTGTGGACCACCTGCGCGGGGAGCGGTGAGGTATACATCTGGAGCTTGCAGGACCTGGCCCAGGCTCCGCAGCGGATTCACCTGCAGGACTGCTCTGAGGTCAGCTGCATGATCCGTGTGAAGAGGCAGGTAAGGTGACATGGGCTCCTGCCCTGCCTGGCCCCTCCTGGTGCTCCTGCCTTCTTGTTTCCTCTCCCAGGTTGCATCTCTGTGTCCCCAGGTTGTCATACGCCTTGGGTTTTGTAATGTGATTTTTGTAGTGTGATTATGGTGCTTAGAAACCGGACCTCCCCAGGCTGCCATAGTAAATACTCACAGTCTGGGTGGCTTCAACAACCAAAGTTTATTTTCCCAGTGCTCCAGAGGCTGGAAATCCGAAACCAAAGTGGTGACACCTTAGAAGTCCCACCAAGTCCCAGCTGTGCCACTGGGGATCAGACCTCTAACTCCCAGGTTGTTAGGGGGCACTTATCCAACTCTAGAAGGGAGGCTCTGGGTAAGGCCTGTTCTGGGGCGGAACTCTCCACCTGTGGGGCTGTGGAAGGACACAAGGCAGGCAGAGGGTGCACAGTCCCATCCCAAAAGGGAGAAATTGGAAGGAAAAAGGAGTTCCAGGCCCCAAGCAAACCTGAAACTCAGCAGGGAATTTCTGTTAGAGGCCCCCTCCACCAGCTTTATTGACATATGATTAACAAACACAAATGATAGCCATTTAATGTACACAATTTGATGTTTTGATATACAGTGCATAATCACCACAGTCAAGCTCATTAACATATGCATCACCTCATAGTTACTTCTGTGGGGTTTTGTTTTGTGGGGAAAACTTAAGATCTACCTCTTAGCAAATTTGAGGTATACGAGACAGAATTACTAACTATGGTCACATTATCCCCTAGGCTTTATGGCTTGGGATAGGTCACTGTGGCTTGAGGCTCCATTGTGCGGGCCCACCAGCTGGCCCAGCCTCTGGGACACCAGGAAGGACATGAATTTGGGGGTGCATTAGTCAGCTCAGGCACTGGGAATAGCAGCATACATCTTCAAGGGCCCCCTTCCCAGCTGACACTCTTCCTGTTTCTCCCTGGCAGGTCTGGGTGGGCGGCAAGGGGCTGTCACAGGGAAGACCCCAAGGGAAGATCTATGTGATTGATGTGGAGAGGAAGACGGTGGAAAAGGAGCTGGTGGCGCATGCAGACACCGTGAGGACTCTGTGCTCTGCCGAGGACCGATACGTGCTGAGTGGGTCGGGCAGGGAGGAGGGCAAGATCGCCATCTGGAAAGTGGAGTGATGGTGGGTAAATGTGCGGGCGGCAGCCTCCTCCGCCAGCTGCACAGATCTCTCTGGAGCTGTCCCCACAGCAGAAGCCCCGAAGTCTGGGCGCTCTGTGGGGAAGAAGTAGGGAGGGACCTGTGTGGAAAGTGTCCCCTTCCGTGTACCCATGACAGATGAACCTCCAGCCCAAGAGCGGTTCAAGCCAGGTGCCCCTCAGGCTGGTGGCTATGGCTCATTTGATAACAGCTACTTGTGCTGGAAAGTTACCATGTGTGTGTCTGGAAAGTTCCAGCAGCCACATCCAGAGTCTGCACTGGGTCCACCAGTTTAGCTGAATCACAGGTGACCGGGAGCCCCTGGTGTCTGGTTTTGTGTCTCTTGTACTTCATTCATTCAACTACTTAGGTGTCACCAGGATGACAGTGGCTGGCCATGATGGTTTGCCAAGGCGCCCTACAGTCTTCCAGTGACTTCCAATTTCCAGCCAGTCTTCTGGGCATTTTACAATAACCACTTTGTGGTGGAGCAGGTTTGCCCTGCCCAGACTGTCCCCATAACAGAGGGGAGGGGACAACACTGTGAACAGATTTGTCCGGTCAGGGCTTGGCCTCCCTTTTTCTTTTCTTTTTTTCCCCTCCCCTCCCCTCCGCGCCCCTTCCCTCTCCCTTTTCCTCCCTTCTTTTCTCTCTCTCTCCTTCCTTCCTTCCTTCCTTCCTCCTTCCCTCCCTCCCTCTCCCCCTCCCTCCCTCCTTCCCTCCCTCCCTTCCTCTCCTCCTCCCTCCCTCTCCCCCTCTTGGCAGCACTAGAATTCAAACTTAGGGCTTCACAATGAGCTATATCCTCAGCCCCTTCTATTTTGAGGCTGGATCTCACTAGCTCACTAAGTTGCTCAGGCTGATCCCAAGCTCAGCCTCTTGCCTCGGCCTCCCAGAATGCTGGGATTACAGGTGTGCTCTGCCATGCCTGGCTTGTCTTTCTTTCTCATGAATTCAAAGTTTTTATAATGAAGAAACCTAGAGAGACTTCGTTTCCACCAAAGATTACAGACAGAAAGGTCTGTCTGGACGAGCAGGCACGATCTTATCTCCAGGGTAGCTGCCCTCCCAGGGCACAGCTCACTGACCGGAGTCTTTGTAAATGTGTGTATATGCAGGTGATGCTTTATTATGTAACTGAAAAAGAGCTGTAAATAACTAAATATTTACAAGAAGGGCCCTTTGCCCATTGTTACACTGTGATGAAGACTTCATCCCTGAGGTGTTCTGTGAGGATGCTTCCGGTGCAGTTGCTGAACCTGAAGGAAGATCACAAGGGCATGCGGCCTGTCCCTGTGGACCCACCATGAGCTCAGCCACGGGCTCTCTGGAGCTTCTGCCTTGGTTTTCAGGCACAGACGGATATCCGGCCAGAGCCTGCCCACCAACGGGCTGCCAAGGGTGTTTGTGGATCTCCAGGAGCAGGGCCACACTCCAGCCCACGGAGGCCTCCTCGTGGACACCTGGGCTTTAGAAGAGGCATGTCACAGACTGATATTCCCCCAGGGTGTGGGCTTTGTGTAGCCGCTGCTTTTCAGGGCATCCAGAACGTGGTGCAGCAAGAGCTCAGTGCTTGCAGAGGGGTCCCCAACTTCCCGAGGAGGACTGGGCCAGCATTGAAGGGCAGGGGTTGAATTTTGCTTTTGTAAACACATGGAAACTTACAATGAAAGTCTGTCAGAAAGATGTGTTTAAATTATTTAATACCAGTCCAGATGTAACCAGGTATTTTCAGCTTGTGAATAATAAATTCATTTATTTGATAAATGTTGACATCCACTCTCTTTCCATCAGCCATCACTGACTGGTGGAAGAGGCCTTGAAAATAATCCAGGACCTTTTGAACTTGCTCTTGATTCATTCTAAGCATCAATCAAGTTATGTCAATGCAGACTTTTCATTTCTTTTACTCATGGTGATAATTTCCAGGATCTATGTGACAGTGATTATATTTGAAACAACCAGTGCAGAAGAAACCCAGGGGCTTTTAAGAAGTGGTCATTTATATAAAAGAGGAAAAAGCAGTGAGCAGTGCAGTTAAGCGGGACGAATGGGTGGGGCGAGCGCACGGTTCTCCTCTGATGAAAATAGCACCTTGCTAGTGAGCTTCGCCTAGAAGAAAGGGGCACTTTGGTGTGTCGGTCTCCCCTGTGCCTTGGAGAGAGTCTATTATGAATGATTTGTCACGGAAGGGCCAGAATGAGCTGGGATTCATTAGGCTCTACTGCCTTGGCTTTAGCAACTTAAACTGGAACAAAAGTGTTGCTCTTGAGCCAGAAACCATTGTATTTGAGGGTAATTTCAGCTCTGTGACACCAAGGCTGTCCTTGTTGGGGGCTCTGTGGGGCTAGAAGCCCCCTCCACTCACTGAGGCAGAGTGGTGGTGACAGTTCTGTGACTTGTTCTCAGGTGTTTGCTGTGCCTTGGTGCTACCCAGTAATGGCCCTTGGAATGTGACTGTAAGGTCTGAATTGAAAGCACATGACTTTTGTCCACCTCTGGAGCACTCCTCAGGGAGTCAGTCACTGAGGGAGAGTGGCTTCTATTTGCATTTCTTGCAGCAATGCCATGATACCACTGAGGGTGGCACAGGTGCAGGGACAGTGCTGCCACTGATTATAAGGTGACTGGGGCATGCACAGGACAGGGACCCAGTTTTGGTGCCTCAGAATACAGGCTGCTTGTGGGGCTGGGCAAGGCAGGTGGACCAGGGCCTGAGCTGGGCTAGCTGGGGACCTGGCCACATGACCTGTGTCCCCTGTGAAACATGGGTGGTTCCTCTGGGCAGGGCTGGAATGAAGCCTGACGGGAGGCAAACTGAACTCCCAGTCCACTGCTAGGCACCAGGAAGTGCTCAAAGAATATTCCATCCTGGGCTGCTTCCTGGGCTTGTGAAAATATTAATGAGCAAATGTTGGCTGGGGATTTAGCTCAGTGGTTTCGCTGCCTGCTTCGCAAGTGCAAGGGCCCAGAGTTTGATCCCCGGTACCAAAAACAAACAAACAAAAGCAAATGTGAATGCTACTGCAGTAGCCTTCTAAAGACACACCCATGTGCTAACCCCCCAGAACCTGTGATTATGACCTTACTTGCAAAAAGGGTCTTTGTAGATGTAACTAAGGATCTTGAGATGAATCAATGGCAAATATCCTGAGGAGGAGAGGAGAGACACTGAAGTAGACACGCAAGGAACAGGCCACGTGAAGATGGAGCAGGGACAGGAGGGCCTCAGCCACAGCCAAGGGACACCTGGAGCCACCCAGAGCTGGAACAGGCAGAAAGAATTGGTCCCCTAGACTCTCCAGAGGGAGCACAGCCCTGCCCACACCTGGATTTCAGACTCCTTGCCTTCAGAACTGTGAGGAAATAAACTTTTCTTGTCCCTCAGTTTGCTGTCACTTGCTGAACAGCCACAGGACACTCACACGGCTCCCATCTATTGAGAGCTTGCTCCGGGCAGTGCTCACCAGGTGCTTCAAATGCATAGTTCTGTGTGATACTCAGAAGGCCCGCAATACTGGGAGTACTGTTCACCTGGTACACATCCAGGCACCCTGGCTCCAGTCCTGAGAGCAAAGTGAAGGGCGATTGATAGGATGTAAATAAATGTTCCTCCTTTCCAGAACATCAGGGGCAGCTTTCCTGAGGAGCCCCCAGAGGTGGACTTGCTTGGGCAGGAGGCTTTGTTGGCGGTGGGGAGGCTGAGAAGGGCTGTCCTGAGAAGTCAGCACCTCTGCCCTGCTGAGCCAGTGCCCTGAGGGAGGAGAGGGGGCTCACTTTGTCTGGTGATGGAGAGGAGGACCTCTCCCAGGCCTGCGTTTTCCCTGAAGGTGAGGGAGCACATTCGGTGGCTGTGGGCCCTGTCAGTAATGGTCGGCTAGAGGCTAAGGCACTGCCGCTGTGTGGAGACGCTGGGTGGCTCAGGCGATGTGAAGTAGGACAGCAGTGTACTGAGCTGAGCTGAGACCACTAACATCTCAATATGGATGGCCACAAAATTAAACACTTAGAAAGCGACTCACTGAAAATAAAGTGGGAAAGCGGTGACAGCGGAACAACAGAATAAAAAGAGAGAAAAAAACTCCAGATGTGACACATGAAAAATAAATAGCAAAATGGTAGACTTAACCCTAACCGCATTGGTCAGTATGTTAAGTGTGAATGACTAAACACTCCAATGAAAAGGCAGAGATTGTCAAACTGGATAAAAATGAGATCCAACTGTATTCTGTGTATGCTGAGAGATGTACATACAGAAGCACAAAGAAGAGTAAAAAAATTTTAAAAAGGTGTACTGTGCAAATAATAAGCAAAAAGCTTATGGCCATATTTATATCAGATAAAACATACTTCAATGAACAAATAGGAAATGCATAATGATAAACTGTCAATTCATCAAGAGGACACAATAATCTCATATCATATTAATAATAGAGACTTAAGATACATGAAGCAAACATGATAGATGTATAAGAGAAAATAGACAAATCTAAAACCCACCTAGGCATGCTGGTCCATGCCTGCAATCCCAGCACTCGGAGAGCGACGTCAGCCTAGGATACCTAAATCTGAGGCCATCATGGACTATGTAACAATATAACTATATAACCCTCTCTAAAACAAGCAATCCAGAACCATAGTGGGAGATGTTAGAATCCTTCTCTCAGTGACTGACAGAACAAGTACACAACTAGGAAGGATTCAGAAAAATTCAGCAGCCCTATCAACCAACTTGGCCTGACTCCAAACACCACACCCGACAACAGAATACCTGCTCTTTCAAGTGCACGAGGACTGCTCATCCAGTTGGAACGTGGTGGATAATAAATAGATTTGAAAATATTGATAACTCATAGAATATGTTCTCTGACTCCACAGAAGTTGAGTTTGATGTCAACGGTAATAATATATCTAAAAAATCTCAACAAATTAAAATTATGTTGGAAATTAAACAGCATATTTCCAAATAACTCTTGGGGGAATGGAAGAAAAATCACAGGGGAAATCAGAGAATGTTTTGAACTGAATCATAATGAAAACACAGTATTTCAGAATTTGAGAGAGGCAGCTGAAGTATTAAAAGAAAAATTATAGCTGTAAATGCCTTTATCAGAAGATTTTAAATTGATAATTTACTCATAAATTTCCATCATAAGACTATAAAAAAATAAATGTAAATTAAAAATAAGTAAAGGAGAAAAATAATAAAGACCAAAAAAATCAATAAAAGGGAAAACAATTGACAAAGTCAAACTTTCATTCTGTGAAGTAATTGATAGATTCTAGCAAGACTGCTCAAGGAAAAAGAAAACAAATTTCCAATACCAGGAATGAAGGACAGGATTAAAATTTGTAGACATCAAGAAAGGAAAAAAGGAAAGAAGGCAGGCAGGCTAAGAAAGATAACCAAAAGCAAAACAAAAAAATCTGATGGGCATCAAAAGGATATCATGAACAACTAGCCTGGATGAAATGTACAAACATCTTGAAAAATAACTTCATGAAACAAACCTAAGGAGGAGTAGAAAATCTGAATAGTCCTATATCAAGAAATGAAATTGACTTTGTAGTCAGAAACCTAATAAAGAAAAACTCTAGGTTCAGTTGGTTATTAGTGAATTCTAAGTCTTAAATATGGAATAATTGAATCCTCTAGAAAACTCTTTCAGAAGAGAGAACACTTGCCAGCTCATTCTGGGACACCAGCATGATCTCAACTCCCCTCAGGAATATGGATGAATACTCTTGAAAAAAACAGGAAACTGAATCCAGCAGTATTTCAAAAGGTTAATATACCATGACCAAATGGGACTGTAAAATACAAGATTATTTTAACATTCAAAATCAATCAATAGGGTCGGGGATGTAGCTCAGTGGTGCAGCACCTGCCTGGCAAGCGTGAGGCCTTGGGTTTGATTCCTGGTACCAAAAAAAAAAAAAAATTAAAAAAAATAATCAATATAGCACCGGAAGAACAAAGAAAAGCCATGATTATCATGTCAATAGATGCTTACAACATAAACTACTCATTCATGATGAAAAATAATCTTGCAAGAAAAGGAGAAAAGTTGCTCAGACAGAGCACCTACAAGGGGCATAGAACAAACATCATAGTTCACAGTGAAAGACTAACTGCTTCTCCCCCTAAGCTAGGGAAAAAGCACAGACGTTCACGTTGACCTCTCCTACTCAACAATCTACTAGAGTTTAACCAGGCCCATAGGCAAGAAAAAAAGCCATGAAGATTGAACTGAAAAAGGCAAAAACTGTCTTTATTCAAAACTTACCTAAATCCTAAAGAATCTATTTCAAAAACTAGAGTGAGAAAATGTAGTAAGGTAACTGAATACAAGTTCAATATATAATAATTTAGCAGACAACTGGAGAAATTAAAATAGTACTTATAATAACTTTAAAATTATCAAATAGAAATAAGTTTAATGAAAGATGTAAAAGACCTATACACTGAAAACTCAAAAACATCGCTGAGAGAAAATTTAAATGACCTAGGGAAAAGATACACCATGTTCATGAATTGAAAGGTTAAATATTGTAAAGATGTTAGGTTTCTCAAAATTGACTTGATAGTTAATTTAATCCAAATAAAAACTCTACTTTATATTTAGTTTTTAAAAAAGAAATTGAAAATTTGATAATATACATATGAAAATGCCAAGAATTAAGACAACCTTTTTTTTTTTTTTTTGGTACTGGGGATCGATCTCGGGGCCTTGAGCTTGTGAGGCACGGGGCGGATCCACTGAACTAAATCCCTGACCCAAGACAACCTTTAAAAAGCAGATCAAAAGCTTGGTGCAGTGGTACACACCTGTAAGTAATCCCAGCAACTTGGGAGGCTGAGGCCGGAAGATTGCAAGTTTGAGTACAGCCTGGGCAACTTAGTGAGACCCTACCTCAAAAATGAAAAATAAAGAGCTGGGGCTATAGGTCAGTGGTAGAGCACTTGCCTAGTTGGCTCAAAACCCTGGGTTTTTTTCAATCTCCAGTACCCACTTCCAAATCAAGATGGAGAACTCATATTACAAGATTTTACATTTTATTACAAGTTTAAAAGAAGTTGAAAAGATTTTAAACTTCATTAAAAGTTTATAAAAAGTTGTAGCAATTAAGACCATAGGAGTTGGTATTGTAACAAATAAGTACATGAATAGAACAAAATATAGAATCTAGAGGTACAACAGACAGCTGACTGTATAAATACAAAAATTTCAAAACAATGCATTTACAAAATCTGCTCAGTGAATGGTACTACAACCACTAGACACTAAAAAGAAGGGAGGGTGTGGAAAAAGAGGAAGCTCACCTCTCGCTCCACAAAATTTAATTCCAAGTGGTTCAGTGATCTAAATGCCAAGATAGAAGTTCTAGAAACAAGCGCAGGGGAACGTCGTTGCAACCTTAGTGTGAAGATTTTTTAAGAGAAAAAAATGCTAAACACAAAAGAAAATTGGTAAATTTGACTTCATGAAAATACATAATTAAGAAAATGAAAAAAGAAACCATGGGCTGGGAGAAATGTATCTGAAAAGGATTTTTATCCTAAATATATAAAAAGATTCCACAAATCAATAACAAGTGATGTTTTGGTCAACTAGCAAATGTGTACTTTTTTTTTTCTGAGACACGCTCTTGCTATATGGTTCAGGGTGGTTTTGAACTCACTATGTAACCCAGGCTGAAACTCACTATGTAGCTTGAACTCGAGATGATCCTCCTGTTTCAGCCTCTCCAGTGCTGAGATTATAGCCATGTGCTACCATGCCTGGTTCATAAACGTGTAAAGGATATCAATGAAGCTATATGGTAGCCAGTTTGAAAAAAACCTTTAATATCATTAGTCATCAGGAAAATGCAAACTAAACACCATTTGATGTTCACCAGAATGGCTACTCTTAAAAAAACCCCATAATAGCAAAGTAAATAATAGTTAAAGATATGGAGCAAGCAAAACTCTTATACACTGCTGGATAAGAATAGTACAACCACTCTGGAGAACTATTTGGTGGTTTCTGTTAGACACATACCTACGCTACGACTCTACAGTCTGTACTTACCCAAGAGAAATGCAGACATGTCTACAAAAACACTTTTACAAAAATGTTTAAAGCATTTTTTTTCAGTAATACCTCAGAACTAGAAATGGGCAGTGTGCACCCCCTGGGGAGTGGATGTGGTATGTCCTCTCACCCTGGAGTGGTGTGTGGCAGGGACAGGAGCAGAAGGACTGATGTGTCTCCAAAAGCATTACGCTGGGCGAAAGCAGCCAGCCACAGAAGCCAAAAACTGTATTTTCATTTGTAGCAAGTTCAAAACAAACAAAACCAACCTCTATGGTTGGAATCCTAATTGTGCTTGCCATCTGGGTGGGAATGAACTGGAAATGGTCCAGGCCGGACTTTTGGGAGTGAAGGAAATGTCCTCTGCAGACTGGCATCCGTTCCACAGGTGTACGCACTTGTCAAAACTCACGGACTCTCACACTCAACACCCGTTCTGTTTACTGTGCATAATCCCAAAAGATAAACAAGCGGGGGACTGGTGGTGCACGCCTGTAGTATCAACTGCCATGGAGGTGGAGGTAGGATTACAAGTTTGAGTCCAGGCTGGGGAACTTTGCAAGACCCGGTCTCAAAACGAAAATGTCTGTGGATGTAGCTCGGTCGTAGAGTGCTCCTGGGTTTGATCCCCAGAAGTGAAATTTAATTAAAAACAAAAACCAGAACATCTATATACAGGCACTAATAATAAAAATCAACATTTTGTTAGACCAAAGAGATCATACATTGTAAAACTCAACACAGTGGCCCACTTTTTGTTTTAAAAAACGATTTTAACACTAGTCTATGAAGGGACAAAGTTGTAAAGGCTGTGCCAGTTGGGAGGGGACTTGGGGACTTGGGAGGGGATTTGTTGGCATTATTGTCTGCTCCTTCCATCCTGGGTGAAGGGAGGCCAGGAAAGGGGCACAGCTGGGGTCTCTCCCATACTTGGCTGGATGCCCTCCACCCCTGGGAGGTCCTCATGGGTACCGGTTCCCACTCCCTGCTGCACACACCAGATGGGTAGCCCTCGGTGACATCTCCGTGCAGCCATGCAATGGGATGTGATGGCCAGGCCACCCCTCGCCCCCATAGAAGGCCTTTCTCCATCTGGGACTTCCTAGTAGGTCTCTGGCAGGTGGGACTTGTGCATCAGGCCCACAGGTGCAGCAGGGGGCACAGCACTTCCTCTCCTGTCCTCCAGGCAGGGTCTCAGGGCTTTCTGTTCTTCTGTCCTGCACTCTGCTATTTGTGCCATTGCAGATGCTCAAGGTGTGGATCCTTTCAGTCCCTAGGACTGGGGACCTGCGGCAGGGAACAGGCCCACCAGGATGCCTTGTCCCTGTCCTCAGACCCCTCCTCCCCTCCCCTGGAACCCAAGCAGACCCCAGCCCCCCAACCCCACCCCAATTTGGCACCCTTGCCCCCATCTGCCTGTGCACCTGGTGCTCCCGGCCAGAGAAACCATTAAAGAAACCCAGCTGTTCAGGGTTCGAATCCCACTAGTCCTGTGACCTGTTCCCATTCATATCCTCTGCTACCAACTGGCTGTGGCAGTGAGAACCTTCTTAGCAGGTTGCCAGAAGACCCAGGTGATAGGTTCTGCCCAAAGAAGACCTAGGGAACCCACTTCCAGCCCCCAGGGGCCACCAGGGGTCTCCTACTGTCCTATATGCCTTGGGCACTCAAGTGCATGCTAGTCAGCCTCAACCAGACCTTATTCCCTCAAATGCTTTCCCTAGGGGCAGCCAGTGGTCTTCTGAGAGGCTGGAGTCCCTGGATCCCACCACCGATCCATTGAACCAGCCTGAGGAGAGAAAGGCTGCAAGGCCTCAGTCCTGCCCAAGCTGGCAGGCTGGGAGAGCTGGGCCCCCACTGTGGACCCCAGGTTTGCAGCCTCGACAGCTCAGGGCATCCGTGAGCCCATCCTGTGCCCACCCCTACCTGCAGCCCTGATCATATTCTACCTCACACACTAGACCCACCGGGCTCCAGGAGGGCTGAGGGCAGCCCCAGCAACGTGACAGTGACAGACACCCACACGGTCACCTTAGAGGGAAAGGTTTATTATGACTCAACCACACAGTAACAGAGAAACAGAAGCAGGAAGACTCTGGCCTCAGCGCTAGTTCTTCCGAGCAGGAGGAAGCCGGTGTGACACATACCGAACCAGGCGCAAGGCATGGTGATGCAACAGTACAGCATGCACCAGACGTTCATGTGGCAGAGGATGGGATAAAACTCAAGGTTGGGCAGAGACACAGACAAGACGCTGCTATTGCTCACCTAATAAAAAATTAAGTCATGTGCAATATTACTCTTTATAATCCCCCTTTCTCATAAAACGTAACATCATGTGTTTAACACACACTTGAATCATTGCTAAAATCAGCAAGAGCTATCATTATAGTGCTCCAACTTAATAAGTTGATAAAGAGTTGTCTTGTGGCCAGTTCGCAATGGAACTAAATAGTTTTGTTCCGAGGTGCCTGGGGTGTTTCTGGTGTTGAGGCATTTCTAACAAACAGGTCATCCTGCTCCCCAGAGGCAGTCTCAGTCCATGGCACACAGCACGGTGCCCCAGTCAGCTCTCTGGGAGGTCCAAGGATGGACTGGTCAAGGGGCCACCTGAAGTCTGGGGATCCAGCCCAGATGGTGATGCTGACTTCACATGAGGAGATGACAAGAGGTATGCAGGTTGGATCCAATACAGCATGGGTGCAAGGGCCAGTTCAACCTGGCCTGAGCTGACACCACACCCAGGTGGTGCTGGGCAGAGCCCCCAGGCGCTCGGAGCCTGAACAGGCCCGACTGGCAGCAGGCCTCAGACCTGAGGTGGCAGACCTCAGAAGCACTGCATGTTGACTGACAGGCAGAGACACGAGCCTGTTTCCAGTGGCAGCTGTCAGAGGAGCCCTGGGCAGCCAGTCTGCATGTTCACAGTTTTGGTAGCTGAAGATGGAGAGATGGAGAGAGACTCAGGCAGAAGCAGAGCAGCCTGGTGCATCCTTGAGGTTGGTCAGTGTCCAGTGTACACAGCCACACTCAGCAGATCTCACAACCGTGTCTATGGTAGGTGTCTCTTACTGGTGCTGCTACTCAGACCACACGGAGTGTTTTTCAAACATGCGACTGAGCACCGCAGGCAGTCAAAGCTGGCCCCATCCTGGGGGCTGGAGAACAAAGGGCCGCCCTTCACAGGAATCTGGCCAACCCTGGTTTCCATGTTAGCTGCACAGCTGACCGAGAGGCTCAATGCTGGGCTTCTGTGCTGTCAAGACCCTCTCCCACACAATGCCATTCAGAAACACCCTGAGCACTGCTGGGAGCCGCTGATCATTTGAGGAGGGCTCCACTGTCCTGCCTCCCCTAGGGTACATAACTGGACACAGTGCTCCTCCCAGGTCTGGGCCTCACAGGGACAGAGGCTTACAAAGCTGGGGTCTGAAGCAGTGGACATGTCAGCTCACTTCAGATGCTGGTGCTGAGGACCTGCTTTACACCAAGAAAAAGGGAACGCCCACTGCCAGCCCTCCAGCCACCAGGGAAGTGGCACAGCCAACCAAGGGAACTAGTCTGAGACTGGCTGGGGTGGCCCATAGCCCCCTCCATCCCTTCCTACCAGCTTACACTCCTGCACAGGGGCACTTCTGCCACGTGTTAAGGGGTACCCCGTGAAAACAATCTTCACTTAGTTGACTTTTTTTTTTTTGGTGGAACCAGGGATCGAATTCAGGACCTTGTGCTTGCCAGGCAGGCACAGTGCCACTGAGCTATATCCCTGGCCCTTAGTTGACTTTTACAGGGCACAAAAATGCCAATGAGACCAGCATTGCCCTATGCTGGTACTAAGTTAATGTGCATTATACAGTATCCAACTAGGTGAAACCCTACAGATACACACCACTAAATGCTCAAAGGACCCCACCCTGGAACCCTGCAACCCGGCCTCTGAAGGCATTACATGGCCAACTTCAGGGTTTGTCCTCAGCACTGGCCGTGAGTAGGCACTTGTTTGGCCCTGCCAGTCCCAGAGGCCCAGGCCACCCAACAGTGCTTTTCACATAATAGCTATATATGAAGTGCTTGGGGGGCTCTCAGCGAGCCCACCAACCCTTGCGGCTTCATCTGAGGCACAATGATAGAAAAACACCAACATCTGAGCCACTCTGACCAAGGCAAGCAGCAGGCATGATCCCTGCTTCTTGGCTTAAGACACAAGGTGAGGACTCTAACAAATTTCAAGCAACTACAAACTTGAATAATCTCATTGCAAGGGAAGGGCTGAGTCAAAGGCTTTGGCTACTTGGTCTTCCCATGCCTAGGTGTGACTCACACTCAGAGCTCTAGGTTACCTTTGTCTGCCTCCCAGAACTTGACTTCGTCATTAACTCTAGGACCTAAGCCCAAGGGCCTGCACACTAGCCAGACCCATACAGCAAGACAGACTTCAGTTGTAAGTATCTGGAGAACTCAAGAGCTTCACAACTCTAGCATGTGTTCAGCCACTTCTGTCACTGAGGAGCAAACAGCAGCCATGCCCTTTGCTGGCTTGTTTTCCAGCAAGTTAACAGTCTAAGAGTGGCTTGTGACAAGGCTTGTGGTGTGGACACAAGATCACGGTCAAGTCAAGGCTGAGATCTCTGGGCCGAATGCACTGCAGCCAGTGGTCTCAAGCCCCTTCCTCCTAAAACGTGTGACTTGGCCATGCCTGAGCCTCCTGCACACGAAGCTGTCAGGGGATCAGTGTCTGTGGTCCACTGGGTCACAGGGTGGGACACATGGCAGCACATGGCCCTCCTGGCTGGTCCCCTGTGCTTGGTTTGATTGTTTCGATCTTGACTGGTTGGGGCCAGTCCCAGCTCAAGCTGTATTCTCTATACTCAGCACTATCTGCTCTCTAGTTGTCAGATGGAGAAGCAAAATCCCCAGCTGTAAGCAGATTACAAGCTAGGTCAAGGCCTGAGGGAGGAGATACAATCGCAAGCTACTAAGAACCAAGTTGCATAGAACGACTTGTCAAACCCCGACGTGCCGGTCACCCTGAAGAAAGGTCAGATCATCTAGCCAAGGGGGACCCTGCTAGTGGGAGGAGGGCTCCCATCACGCCAGCTGTGTGTTCAGACTTTTCTTGTCCAAGCACTAAACTCTCCAGACCATTCCAAGTGTCAGCACATAGAGAAAGCGTTAGGGTCTTGAAGCCAGGCCTCTGAAAGACGGCTTCTGAGGAAGGCCCCAGGTTGTAGAAATGCTCCTGTGGACCGGCACTGGACTGCTCCTCCAACAAAAAACACACAACCTACAAAGCACCATCAGTGGCAGGAGACATAGCAAGGCGAGAAGTCTGCTGAGGATGCTGAACAGCCATTACTTTAAGTACACAGAAAATTCAAGTAATTTATTTAAAAACTGCTTAGTTTCATCTTGAAATATATATATATATCTATATATATATATATACATATATAATATTTGCTTTAGAATGATCATATTGCAGCATGACTCTCATGCATTTTAAAGTACTTTATTTAAAAAACATGGACTTGAGGCAGCAATTATGACAAGGTTTGACTCCATCTGTGTGTTATGCAGAGCCTCTTCCTACTGATCTCAGAAAGCTTAGACTGACCGTTTCACATAAGAAAAGCAGAAACTGCCTAGCTCTGAATAAAGAGATTGTGGTTTGAAAAACATTTCCAAACAGCTGCAGCATTTGATGAGTTTGCTTGGGTGTGGAACCAGAACACCATCGGTCAGGGCCTTTCTCCCCAGACACCTGCTTCTCTCTGTGGTGGTTCTAATCCCAGTGGCAAGCGAGTGAGCAGGTGAGAAAGTCACAGAGTTCAGACAGGTTCCAGCAAGCACATCCTGCCATGGCGGCGAGGGATGCCTGCGCTCATGCACCCTGCTTGGAGGTGCTGTCCCCCACACTTGAGGTAGCCTTGCAGCAGGGCTGGAACTCTGTGTGCCATTTCCAGCAGAGGTGTAATGAGTCCAAGTGCAGAGGGGAGCCTGGGGACTGGGCTGAGGAGCTCCAGGCACGGACAGCCGGGCGGGGTCTGGACATGGACATGCTCACACAGGTGCCACAAGCAGCACTGGATTTGAGAGTTCAGCTTCTGTCCGGGAACTGGTGTACGCCTTGCCCTTGGCCTTTCCGCCCACAGCCACCTCAGGGGCCCTCCCCAGCTTTGGTGTGCGGCTGCTGTGCCCGAGCACAGCGCCACAGGGCATGATGCGTCAAACTCTCTGAGGGAAAGGAGATGCTGTTCTTCTAAGAAAACAACAGTGGTAGAAAAAAAAGAAAAAAAACACCCTGTGTCTAAAATAATCATAAAGAAAAATACTCTCCAACAGCGGCCGCACCAACAGAACATGACAAGATCTGAGGGGCATCGACATTCCTGTGGGTGGCCAGAGGGATACCTGGGAAGGGTGAAGTACTCACTGACTACACTGCTCTTGTCTGAGGTGCCCAGACTACATGTACCCAGGACATCCGAGGTTTTGCATTTTCATTATAATTTCAGAAATGCAAAAAATCCCATTTTTTTCTAAATTACTTGACTATATTGTAAATGTTTTACAATGTAAAGACATGCAGAATAATATACCTGCAGAATAAAAGACAGAGTTGAAATTAAAAGATCATTTTCAATTAAAAAATTTCAAATGATTTTTTTTTAATTGTGGAAAAAGTAATTAGTGTGATACTTTTGCCTAATAGCTCAAACCTACCCTACAACTACTGAACTTCAATTGTTTGAAGAAGGAGCACTGCCTGGCGCTGCCCTCCAACCGCCAGCAAGGCCAGTGGCCGGCAGCCTCCCCACCTGTCCCCACCGCGGAATGTGTCAGCCGGAGCTCAGACCATGGACTCAGTCTCCACTGCACCCTGCAGACCCTCCTTCCGAGAGAGCTTCAGGACTGTGGGCTTGTCACTGCCGTCACCATCACCAGCAGGCTGCATAGACAGGCCTTTCTGCTCTTCCTTGGCCTCTTCCGACACCTCAGGATAGATCACCAGGAAGGTGGCTGTCAGGAAGCCCAAAAAAGAGCCCACAGAGGCCACCATGGGAATGACACGGACAGTCCCCACAATATCAACCACGCCCCCAAGGGCAGATGCCACCAGAATCTGGGAGATGTAGACTTGGCAGGAGAGGATGGCGCAGTCGATGCCAAACCCACGCTTGGAATTCCCTGGGCTGTGGTGGACGTACTGCAAGAGAAGGGAACACATGCATAAGGGGCCGTGCAGTTGAGACTCAATGGCCCACGTGTCAGTGGTGTGAGCACTGACTCGGGAATCTGCAGGCAAGGCCTGCTTCCTCCCAGCTTCTAAGCAGCCATTCCTGCCGAGTCTCCCGACTCCAGCTCCTACACTGCCAGCTGTGTAGGTGGGAGAGGCAGAAAGTTCCAGCTCTTGGGAGGGGAGGAAAATGGAAGCAACTTCACCAATCCCATCAGGACACAAGCTCCCTGGGACCCACCTCCAGCCCAAGGAAGGGTGGCAGGGCAGGGTTTGGGTGAGGTGACTCTCCTAACCCTGAGGGCTCTCCAGTGGGGACCAGAGCAGGGGAGCTATGAGCCTGTGCTGCCAAGTGCCAGCCCACCCCACACGTGGCTGAGGACACGGCCACGCAGACTGGATCAGTGCAAACACAGGGGCAGTTTCATCTGTGTTTCTCAAATAAGACATGAAAGGACACAGGTGCACCTGCACTGTCACGCTCAGACCAAGTCTCCGAAGGAAACTATCCTGGAGATAACGAAGAAAAACCAGTCCACAAAGAAGGTAAGAAACTAGGCAATTCTAGATGTATGCGTGTACACATATTTGTATGTACCACAACCACAGTGGCAAGAGATTTTAATAAACTTTTCATAAAATAAGCAGACACAAAAACAGTAAAAGATAAGAGTGAACAAACTTGATCTAAGTTGAGACAGGGCACAAAGTGTAGAATACACTTTCTTTTCAAGTACATATTGAACATTTACCACAGCGGGAGTCTCAACTAATTTTAAGGGCTGAGATCATAGAAGAGTATGTTCTCTGATAGTGAAAAATTAGAAATCAATAAAAACACAACTATTGGAAAATTCTCCCAAATGTCAGAAACTCATCAACATACTCCTAAATAATGGTTCAAAACAGAAATCATGACAAAAATGAGAAAACCAAGTGACTGAGAGCACAACATACTAAAACCTGCAAAGTGCAGCTAATGGTGTTTGTAGAGGGAAATCAGTAGCTTCAAAGGCAAATATGTGGCTGAAAATCAAATTAAGAAATTAGAAAACAGCAAATTAAAATGAGATAATAGAAGGGACAGTAAAGAGCAGCAACCAATAAAATGAAAAACAGAGAACTGAATAAACCAAAGGCTCTCCGAAAACACAAAATCAATGCATTCCCAAATAACTAGTATCAATGAAAAATACGGTATCAGTACAGGTTTTATTACATCATAAGGAAATATGAACATTTTAATGCCAATAATTTACAAAGTTTAAAAAATAATAAAAAATAACTTGCCAAGTTCAGATGAAATGGACAAATTCTCAGAAAACTCCAACTTAAAGCACTGCCTCTCCTCCTAAGACAGTAAAGACCTCCCACTGGAGGGTGAAAGAGCAAACTCAACACCACCACTTTTATTCAACACCATGTCAGAGGTTCTAGTCATTGCAAGAAGGCAAGGAAAAGAAAGAAAATGTATCAAAGATTAGGGAGGAAGAACTAAAACTATGCACAGGTGACATAGCTGCATAGTTAAAGTCCAAAAGAACCGAGAGGTGAGCTCTGAGAATTCATAAAAGAAATCTAGATCTTACATGAGGATGGAAAGGCTCACAATGCAAAGTTATTAACTCTCCCCAAACTGATCTATATATAGTCAGTGTATTTTCAATAAAGGAAAGCCAGAAGGAGTCTAACATTTAGGTGAAAAATAAACAGGTAAGAGGAGCCAAGACAATCTTGCTCTCAGTGAAAAACTTACACTACAGGGTCTGAGGACTTATTACAGAATTATTTTAATCAGGACAGTGGGACATTTGTCCAAGAGTCGAACGACCAAAGGGCCAGAAGCCCCTGCACACACTTACATCGATGCGCAGTTTATGATACAGATGGTCCTGTAGGGTGGAAGGAGCTAGGGCATGTGAATACCCATCTTCGGCAGACAGTAAGAGAACCTTGATCTGCCACTTTAAGCCACACATATTGTCTGTCCAGGCAGAGGTAGCAGAGCACAAAGCACCCTGAAGGCTGAGAAGAAATGCTTGTGGCTGCATGTCTGAAACAGCCCTGAACTGGAAGAACCAAGCCCGTCAAAGGAGGGTGATCAGAAACCCATAGGCACACGAGGCAACTGGTCAGGAGCCCAGGCAAACCAGGGATACAGTCAGGAATGCATGGGCACACCGGGTATGTGATCCAGAGCCCAGGCACACTGGGCATGTGGTCAGGAAAGCATGAGCACACTGGGGATGTGATCGGGAACCCAGGCACACCAGGAGTGTGAAAATGCACAAAGTGCTGGTGGCAATGAGTCACACAGGATGAGGTGACATAAAAGAAGCCAGACAGTCCAGTGGTAGAAAGTTCAGAAACAGGCACAGGAATGTATGGTGTTAGAAGTTGGGGCAGCAGTCACCTTTAGGGTGACAGAAGTCGGATGAAGGGGTTCTGGCAACAGTCTTCCTCTGTCTGGATTGGTTATACAACTGTGTTCTCCCTCCCCAAGAGCCATGAAGCAGTTTACTTACGATTTAGTTGGTGGTCTGCTACATTTTAATTTAAAAGTTCATTTAACCACTTAGGTAGTGTTTATGTACTATCCTGAGCACTCCTTGGGCAGATATAATTTCAACCACCTTGTATTGAACAAATTTGATAAAATTGTCATTTTTATATTTCCTGTTATACTATCTTATAAAAATTACAAAAAATATGCGATTTTTGGTCATCACATATTTAAATAATTAGACTGTTAAGTGGTTAAAAAATGATGCCATTAGATTTTTATTATTACTGTGTTTGGTGTGCTTCTAATCAATAAACTTATTTGCTTAATAACTGCATGAGAGATTAGGAGAGCGAACAGATTTTAGGGATAGGAAGGAGATATGCACTTCCCTCCTCTCCCTGAAGGCCCCCAGGTTTTGCTGGAGAGCCTTGGTCTGCTCCTGTACCTGGGTTGCAGCACATCAGAAATGCTCTGCATTTCTCAGTGGTGACCCAGCGACGGCACCAGCCTCCAGAAGTCTCTTGGCTGACCAGGGCGGCTGAAGGAGGCTTGTGACCAGGGATTGACCAGGGCAACTAGCAGCTCTTGGCTTCATCAGAATGGAAGATGGAGGGGAAAATCTGTGTCTGGGACACTGCACAGGTGGAAGGTGCTCGCTCAGCTCATGTGGAAGAGAGAGCAGGGCACTGAGCCCATGCTCTGGGCCAAACAGGCCGTGGACCCAGCCTGAGGCCATCTCATTGCCACCCTACCGGGTACCCCTAGGCCACACGTACCTCCTTGATGTCATGGTAGTGCCCTAGCAGGGCATAGGGGCAGTAGGAGATGCTCATGGACACAATCCCCATGGTGCTGATGGTGACCATGGCCACATAGACATTGGGGAACATGGCCATCACGGCCGTGCCCACAGAGAAGCCCAGCGTCCCCAGCACGTAGATCACCCTGATGCTCAGGTCATAGTTGTCTAGGTACTTCTGTAGCAGGGCTGCAAAGAGAGGCCACAGGAATAGTGATCAAGCTGCCCACTCATGGGGGCTACCTCCCCATCCCTCCTCTCCCAGCAGTGCCTTCCTGTGACTAAACCTAGGCCACCATGTGCAAGCAACATCTCTCTCGCCTGACCTGTCGCCACATGGTCTCCAAGAATACCTCCATTACAGTGGTGACAACAATGTGGTCACTCTGGTGCTGGCACCTGGCTGACCATGGTATTTATATCAGCCATTTCCAAGTCCTCACTAGGATAATCCTAAGCTGACCTCCTTCCCTTGGTTCAGGCAGCAAATCCCAACCATGATTTGCTCCAGTTCCAGAGGTGAGCCATGAGCACTGGTCCCAAGATGGGAAGCTGCCTCCTCGACCGCCTACTTCAGGACATAGCTGCACTGAAAGGAGCCCTGTGCAGCAGCCTAGCACAGCTTCTTCTGCTCTGACTGCTGAGTTCTGGCCCAGGGCTTGATCTCCTTCCAACCCTGAGCTGGCAGGGCTGGGACAATATGCCTAACATAGGTGCCGTCAAACTTGGACCGCCCTGCAGGATAGCATGTGGTAGGGCATCCCGAGGGGCTTGTGAAAATACCTGTTCCTGGCAGAAATAAGGGCCCTACTCACAATCCACATTTCCAAGCTCTGAGGATTGCCCAGCTGCAAACGGTTACCTGACCTGGGCGCCTCTTACCTGAGCAAATAGCACCGGTGGCAGCATAAATGACCAAGCCCCAGCAGCCCATCTTCACACCGGCATTATAGGCCTGTCCTTCGGTGGAATTGGAGGCTGCCTGTTCCAGAAAGAAGTTGGGGTTAGGGACAGTGGCAAGCTGTTTAAGAGTCTAGCAAACAGAATCACCTCTGCATCCAGGTCCAGTATCTGGTAAGTCACTTCCAGTCTCTTGTGGCCCCCTCAATAAAAGGTGGACCCTCTACATCCAAAAGATGGGCTGGTCTCAACTAGTAGAAGTGACCCTGCCCTCTTGAGCTGCCATGGGAGACCTGGAGGGGTGAAGATGGACCCCGAGTGCTGTGCAAGGCCATCCTGGCCCTCCTGGAAAGGTGGCCAACACGGCCACAAGGTGAGCCCAGGTAATGTCACGGGCCCCAAAGGGCTGCCAGCTCTTACCAAAGGGTAGCAGCAGGCTGTTACCTTAACTGCCAAGTTCTGGGACAGTGCAGTTCAAGGCAATAGATGGCTGAAGCAATGCCCAACCAGGCTTCTCCAAGTGCTGCCACCCTCTGAAAGCAACTGGCACTCACGCCTGCTCCCCATGCACCCTACTGTGACCAGATTAGGCTCAGACAATTGTACCATGGAACAAAGATGTAGGTCAGCCAGCTGCCTTCCATGTATTCTCCCTGATGTGGTCACAAGGGCATAGGGCCAGCAAAGGCCTGCTTGGAAGAGCACCCAATGATGAGGCCCACCTGGGCTCCCCTCCCAGCCTACAGAATGCTCACCTTGGGGTCCCCCTCGAAGATGACCTGGCCCATGAAGTCAGTATAGAAGACAGCCTCGGCGATGACGGAGAACCAGGTGAGCAGGTGGCACAGGCAGAGGCGCATCAGCTCCCTCGGCATCTTCAGCATGGACAACCACAACAGGCGTACAGTAGTCTCACCCTCACCCTCCTCACTCTCTGTGTCCCCACTGGAGGTGGTAGCCCCACTCTGGTTCCGGTGCCGGCAACGCTGCCGCTGACGCTGTTGCAGGTCATAGAGGTCGCTCATGCTGCGGGACGGTTTGATCAGAACCACTGCATTAGCCCGACGGTAGCGGTAGCAGTGGGACCCAATCTTGCCATAGTAAGAGAAGGTACTGGAGGCTTGCCGGCGGAACATGTGCCTGCGCCGCCTCATGGAGCTGGATGCGGCTGAGGGCTTCAAGTCCACCCTGGTGCAGCTGCTGAGGGTGTCTCTCGGCGGGGAGCCACTTCCATTTGGGACTCTAGCTTCATTCAAGTGATTATCAAGCAAGGTATCATCCTCCTTGGTGGTTTCCCTGAGGAAGGTAGACAGGTGGGGCAGCCTGACCTTCAGGAGCTCCTGGCTGGTGCTGTGGGGAGTGCTGGGATAGGAGGCATCTTGGAAGATGGAGGGCTCAATGTCATACAGGAAGGGTGGCTCGGGTTCCATATCCAGTGTGGCATCTGGCATGTGCAGCACGGAGTCACTCTTGCTGCGCACGATGTCCACATCGAGGTAGTCCAGGGCTAGCTCGTGCTCTGACTGTACCTCATCAGGGAATGGAGGGCTGCTGTTTTGCATGCCCCCGCCAAGGGCATTTAGGCGGGTAGTGGGGGCCAAGGTGCTGCCAAGCCTAGCGCTGGGCAGGGCAGCAGCTTCCTCTGAGCTGCGGTCCTGCTGCGGGCTGTATTGCTCTTCCTCGATGCTGAAGATGTGCAGGACCACCGACACCGTGAAGATGATGGCAGCAAAGAAGAAGAGCACTTGATTCTGGGTCCGAAACCAGTTGCCCAGGAAGGTCTGTGTCCAGTCCAGCCCACCCAGCACATAGCCAATGGCACCGCCGAGGCCTAGGAGGGGGAGAAGCAGCAGGTGAGCCAAATGGATGCTCTGGTCCCCGCTCCCAGGCCTAGTGTGGGAGGCAGTGCCAGGGTGGGCTGGAGGGCTTCACTCTCAGTGGGGGCCTGGGCACTCTAACAGTTATGTTGTGAATCAGGACACAAGGTCTTGGAATGGGGAATGAGAAAAGGGTAGGAAAAATAAAACAAGAAGCCCTGTTAGCCCCAGATCTGAGAATTCTGGCCTTATGAAATTCCCACTTAATAAATTAAGAGCAAATTAATCCCAGGAGTGGACACAAACTGCCCCCATACATGCCTGTCTGTACTGAATGCCGCTCCCTAAGCATGGCTAAAGACAGTGGTCTGCAGGGCCCTGGCCATTTCTACCCAGCAAGCCTGTCACCCTGGCAGGCCTGGCTTGACTCTCCTTCATCTCTGCTCCTTAGTCCCTTCATCTTGCTGGGTTCGGTGGTCAGGAGGATGTTCTTGGTTATTTCCTGAGCTCTGGCCACTGCCTCTGCCTACCAGCATCTGAGATAGAGCCACATGCACTGAACTTGGGTGCACAGGTTCCTCCCCCACCCACATGGGGCTTGGGGAGTGGCTGCTGCCAGCCTGCCTTGGCATGGGTACTTTACCAGCAGAGAAGGCATGGATGTTGAGGGCCATGTCTTGCTCCTCACTGTCCACCACATCCAGCAGATAGGCACGGATCGGGCCCTCGGTAGCATCAGCACTGAAATCCAGGACCACCACTCCCAGTACTGTGAGGACGATGCCAATGGGCTGCCGGTTGGGGACATCACCAAGGGCCAGACCTGGACAGAGCACAGACAGTGGTCAGACCTCAGGGCCAGCTGAATCAGGCTCCTCGAGTAAACAGCCTCCCCTCCGTGGGGAGCCAGCTGGGAACAGCACAGGAGTCTCTTCAGGAGAGCTGTACTCTGGCAGGCAGACTCTTGGGAAAAGGGGTTTCTTTTTCCCTTTTCTGAGGTTTAGAGGGCATTCTTTCTCTTCACCCTCTGGACCTTGACGGCTTCCTTACCCTGTCTTTCAGGCAGGAAGGGGAGCAGGTCCCTGCCCTGCCACCTCAGGGTGGGTGGTGCTGATTAGTGTCAGCAGGCAGGTGGGTATGTGGGCAGCTACCTCTGCCTCCCCTGCATGCCACCTGAGGCACCAAGCTAGACCCAGGGGCTGTGGAACCCACAGGAGACTCCAGACCCAAGTGGAGAGGACCCTGAACAAGCACTGGATTTCAGACATGGCTCTGAGGGGGACGAGCACAGCCGTAGCACTCCACCATCCTTAGGAGGCAGGCTATGTGGTCCCAAGAAGTCGCCTTCCCACACCAAGTCTCCTACGCCTCAGGGGAGTCTGCCCTGCAGCCGGAGGTCAATTACTAACCTGACACCTGAGCAGCCCTAGCTGGGTGGCATCTGATGCCAGGAGCGGGTGGGGAGTAGTGCTCCTTACACAAGCCTCAGGAACAGTGGGAGCAGGGCTAAAGCCTGGGCCCAGGACCACCTCAGAGCACTGTGATGAGGCTGAACCTGGACCCACAAGAGGGCCAGTTTCAAAAAGGGAGTTTCTGCCTAGGAGCTCCCCAGAGGCCTCCAACAGTGCTCACGAGGCAGTGCCCAGGCTGGCTGCATCTGGGCCACATGTGGGCAGGGCCAGCCCCATGGACACAGCACGAGACTGCCATCACTCTGCATGAGAGAAGGGAGGGCCGCTGCCTAGGGTGGCGCTGACCAGCCCGGAGCCAGCATTAGGTGCCAGGGCTAGAGGAGGCTGACCTACAGAAGGCAGGTGACACACAGACAGCAAGGGGCAGGGGGCAGAGTCGTGCCCATCCCGCAGGCCCTGAGAAGCTGAGTGGCTCCTCTGTACCGAGGACTTCTGAGAGCTTCCCGTCCACCCTGTCGGGACTTCTACCTGACTCTGCAGTCCTGGGCAAGCTCCTGCAATGCAGAACACATGCCAGGCAGCTCCAGCTCAAAAGCTTGTGCCAGAAAATGAGGCTTTGTTTTTACCAGTTTTGATGGATGCACTCATAGCAAAAAAAAATTTTCCCACACAGTTGCTTTAATTAAAAACAAAACAACAAGAAGAGGCAAAACAATACGTGAGCATGTGAAACAAAAAATAAATATCCAACTAGGATCTGGATATTTTCAATACCAAGTCTGAGAAAAGGAGAACAAAAAAAAAAAAAGAAAAGATAATTTCTGAAATAATGCTGGAATAATGCTGGAAACAGGACGTGGTGTCTGATATGCATTAAAAACAAACGGTCCCGGCAGGAAGCGTTTCCCTGTGAACAGGTTCCTCTGGCGTTCCCACGTGGGCCGGCGCCCCTGCCAAGCCGCCTGCACTCTGGTCACTGCCAGGCAGCCCACGCAGGTCCCACGGGGCCAGCCCTGTGGCTCCGACTGCACACCTGTGGGGTGAAGTCCCCAGGCCCAGCACACTGGCACTCACCTATGGCAGAGCCGTTGAGGAACAGTGCGACGCCAAGCAAGACGCCCACACAGAGAGCGAGGATGAAGGGCCGCCGGCGGCCCCAGCTCAGGGTGCAGCGGTCGCTCGCTGACCCGATGAGTGGTGTGAAGATCAGGCCGAGGACGGGGCTCAGGAACCACGTGAGGCTGTAGTACTGCTCCGGGAGGCCTACGGGGACACGGGGCGTTACTCAGGAGGCACGCTACCCAGAGACTCACGCAGGCGCACACAGCCCCACTGGGTCTCCGAGAACGCCAAGCACCCGGAATCAGCCCAGTGCGCTGGGCCTGGCCTGCAGGGCAGTCACATCAGACTGGCTCTGGCCTGATTCACACGGCAGGCACTTGGCAGGTGGGTGTGACTGGGACCGAGACCCTCCACAGTGCTGGTGGCAACCAGGCTCCTCAAGGCACCATCGGCCCTCCATACTGACAGTCCACAGGGGGCAAGACAGGCGCTACAGTTACAGGGAGAAAGAAGAAACACAAATTGTGTGTCCAGCTGGAGATGAGTGTTGTGGCTGCACATGACATTCACTCGCATGTAGCCTCCCTAACCACCACTGGAGGCAGGGACTGTGCTTATTTAATAGCAGGGGAGCCTGAAGTTCAGAGAAGTCAGGCAACCTGCCCCAGGTCACACAGCTAGGAAGTGGTGGCCCCAGGATTTAAACTAGGACAGCTTGACTTCACGGTCTATGTTCCTTCACTCTGAAGCTGCCTTCCTATTACACAAAGCCAAAAGCCTTCAACAGTAGGGTGGGCATAGGGTGAGGGCGGGGTCATAGGCTAGAGTGCCACCCAGAACAGGAAAGAAGAGACTACAACTGTGTGCAACAGTGTGGATGACTCTCACCCCATGGCAAGACACAGCCTCAGAGGATGGGCACCACAGGGCTCTTGTCCTGCTACGTCCAGACTGTTGCTAGCAGTCAGGGGCCTGGTCACCTCAGGAGGGGCAGGGCCTACAGGGGAGGGCAGGCTTGGGGGCATTGTTTCTGCCCTGGATGTGCACAGTGGATGTCACTGTATGGTCACATGGTAACAAGTCCTCTAGCTTTGTCACATGCCCTCCTATGTTACATACTTAAAGAATAAAAGGGCTCTGGCACACCACTGCCTCATTTGGCTAGGATCTCATGCTGCCAAAGGCGCTGAGAAACGGAATATCGTGTTGAACTGACAAGAAAAATAAACTTGTGTGGGAGGAGGAAATGTTTTCCCAGGCAGGAGGGAAGCACCTTTGAAACCTACTGCTAGCAGTCCATTAAAATGCTGACGCGCTCTGCGGTACTCAGGTGTTTGCTCTGACCTCTGCGCCCCATACAACTCCAGGAAGGCTAGGTTTTGTTCCCAGGCAGAATGTATCGAGGGCCTGGGAAATGAGAAGTTTGCTGAGTGAGTTCCTCAGGCTGGGCTGGGCCTCACATAGTGGGTGTGGGTTCCTTGGCTTTGCCTTGAGGCACTCCAAATGGACAGGGAGGTGCCACAGAGCACAGCACCCTGCCCACCTTCAATGATGCACACATCAGGTACCTACTTCTCAGAAATGCATCCTGATTGAAACTTCTCAGAGCCAGCAGTGTGGCCTAAAGTTCAGAGGGAGGGGAATATATCACTGCCCCAACACACAGGCTCTGCCACCACTTTGCAATCAATGACAACCAGTTGGAGTTGTATCCTTTGGTTACGGTGCCTCCTGGCCTTGGCTTACTTTTCTCTAATGGTCTTGCCCCTGGGGTGGGCTCTGGAGGTGCTGGGCCCTCTGCAGCTCTTTACTGATTCTCACCTCCCAGCCTGGGGAACCTCCACTTGGACGCCCTGTGCCTTCCCCAAGTGCGGTACTCCATAGTATGTACCCCAGAGGCTCTGTGTGCACCCAGACAGGCTGCAGGTCCTGGAGGGTGGGTGAAACAGTTCACCCGAGGCTCTCCCCTCCCAACCTAAAGCCAGACAGGACCCAGACAGGGCCAAAAGGTTTGCTGACTGGAACCAAACTGGAAATGCCAGTCCACCCTGTGTGTCCAGTCTCCCTTGCCCTACTTGGTTGGGCCACTCCACTGACTGCTCCTGCCCTGGTGTTTGCTGCTACCCAAACTCCAGTCCAGTCTCAGCTGTGATCCTCACCTTGGCCACCCTCTGCTACCCTCGCCTGCCATATGCCCCATGAGGCCCATCCCCTTTTCAGTGACCAGATCTACCTAAAGTAGATCTCTCCCTGTGGGTCCCCTAAAGAGACCTGTGGCTCCACTCTCTACCCCTCACTCTGGTGTCACGTCAAGTCATAAGACCCTGCCCAAGGCAGACCTGCTGTGCATCCCAGGGATGAAGACCCATTGGTTCCAGCCCTGGCCTGACCTGGGCAGCTTCCAGCCCCAGGAAAAGTAGATACCAGCAAAGCCATGGCATAGACAGACTGAGCTAGCAGGTGGACAAGTGTCACAAGTGACCACACTGCTAAGGGGGACGACAGGGCTGGGAGGTTGTGTGCCAGGCAGAGAGAGGGACATGGGCTCCCACGTTTCAGAGCAAATGAGGAGGCTAAAAGATGCTCTCCTAAGAGGATGTGGGCCTGATGCAGGGTGAGTGTCCCTTTCATATACCGGCCTGCATGCCACTGGGACGGTCTGCACAAGTCAGGACGGGGGCTGGGCCTGACAACCATGCTTCTCCTGGCCAGCAGGGGTACCCATGGGAATTTTGGGGCTCTGATATCATCACTTTTGCTACTGCCGGAGCTGACAGGTACACATCAATCTCAGCTCCTCCTATCTTGGCTTCTGGCTCGATGGCCCGCCAGAAGGGGCAATAGCAGAACCATGATGGCACAAATCTTGGAGCTGGGGTTCAGAGACAAGTCTGTCACTTCCTCCCCTGGGCCTCAGCTGACCCTGGTCTCTGAGCTAAAGCCTGAGCTCAGGGAGTAGCTGATGAAGGCAGGGCAGAGGGCAAGCTGACATCAGCAGGGCAGGGTACAGACAAGTGCCTCCTCTACTCAGAGACCTCCACACTCACTCAGAGGACACTTGCCCTCTCAGCCAAGTGAACTCCCCACTGAATGCTGTCACTTTGAAGGATGTGCATTTGCCACATTCGATGGCACCCTCAATGCCACACTCAGAGGCCCCAACTTGGGCCTCTTTTTGGTGTTGGAGCAGTAAGGAGAGGGGGGAGGGAGGGACAGAGCTAATGCAGTTCCCTGAAGATTTTCAAGAGCCATAAACACTGTTAATTTGCTTCCTGCTGGCCACAGCCAGTCATCACCACCACTGGGACCAAGCCACAAAGGACTATCTTTAACTAGTCCTCTTTAACTCAGGCATCTATCACATATAAGGCTCTGTGACAGCTGTGAGAGGAGGACGCCATCTCCACCCAAGCCATCCTGTGAACACAGGCTTTGTGCTGAATTCTGCAGAGTCCCCAGGGTGAGCAGGGGCTGGCGTGGCCTAGAACAGCTCCCAGTGCCAAACTGACACAAAGAAAGTAAGTGAGGGCGGTCATCAAGCCCTACAGTGCCTTCAGGTCACCACAGCCACGGCAGCCAGCTGGGCAGCCAGCCTCGCTCCCCTGTCTCACATGCTCCTTGAGGGCTGACCGGGTGATTCTGGTGGGACATTATCTTTGTGGGTGCCAAGGCATTCACCACGGAAGGACCTGCTGCTGTTCATAGAAGCTGCAACCACAGAAAGTGAGGGGAGACAAAGCAGAGACGGCCAAACTTGGTGCAGACTCCCTCCAGCATCAAGGTAGAGAGGGTCAAATGCAGCGGTCCCAGGCAATGGTGCTGAATCCAGTCATAAGTCTTGGGAAAGCCAGTGCAGCCACCCAGCCCAACAGCTGCTTGCTGGCGCACCCTACCCAACACTGATGCCCACAGCTGGCTGGGGTAGCCACGTGGGGGCTGTTGGGGTGAGTTATGCTGGCCAGGGACAAGGGTGTGGCTTCAAGTGCAGAGTTCACAGAAGGAACTGGGAAATCCCACTATTCCTTTCTGTTTTGGTTTTTTTTTTTGATACTGGGGATCGAACTCAGATCCTTGCGCTTGCGAGGCAGGCAGTGTAACCACTGAGCTAAATCCCCGGCCCTCCACCATTCCTTTCTGAAAGTAGGCATGCAAGTGAAATGAAAATGGTCACAGAATCTGAACCTGAATTTTACAAAGTATTTTTCTGCTTGCCCAGAAAAATGTCAACAGGCAGCACTCACTGCCCAAGCACTGGCCGGGTCCCAGGAGGTTCAAAAAGGGCACTGCAGGTGTGAGCCATAGCTTACTTGCTCTCAGGGGACAATGCCAGTCATTCCCAGCCTGCCCCATGGCACATCTAGTGTCATGCTGATGGGTCTGGAGGTAGAAAAATGCACCAGGACCAAGTAGCCTTCTCCAGCTCACAAGTGAGGCTTCTGATGCCCAAGGGATAAAGAGAGACAGTGCTGAGGAGGGAACAGCCGGCCCAGGCTCAGGCCCTAAGCTCCCAGGCCCCACGTGGAGGCCATCAGGGCTGCCCACCTGCCAGCTTAGCTGGTCCTTTGATCCTTACTTGTTGGCTGTGGCCCTGAGCTCCTCAAGGCAGACAGCACTGGCACACCTACAGGCTCACTTGGCCAAGTGCCTGGACCCAGCAGGCGCCATAATGATGTGTGGGTGAAGGCATCCTGGGCAGGGATGTCCACCTCGTGCCCTTCTTCTTGGGTGCCTCCCTCTTTCCCTCCCCTGCTCTGCACTGTGACACACACACCAGGTCTCTGGCTCTGAGGCTGGCTCCCTCAGCCCTGACCACACAGTCACCTCCCATAGCTCTTGGTTAGGCCTCCCAACCTCCTCTCTGAACCTGAGCAACACACTTTCGGCCTAGAAGCCAGAGTGGCCTATCAAAACACAGCTGCTGAGGACCTAGGTGTTAGAGGCCTCTGACAGTTCCTTATAGCCTGGTGGTGTTAGAATTTTAATTTTAAAACATGGGTTGGAGGAGCTGGATCAGAACTTCTGGAGGCTCATGTCCTCAAGAGTCCGGCCTGGCCAGGGCTTTGGGCTTCCTCTGTCCATCCTTCTTTAACTTGGTACCAATGAAGGTGTGGAATGGTGCACCACACTTTGAGATGATCCATGGCAGGTCATCTGGCACAGAAAGACAGGCTCTTCTCATCCCACTCAGTGGGCACAAGATC